TATATATATATATATATATATATATATATATATATATATATATATATATATATATATATATATATAGGCACACACACACACGCGTTGGCGGGGATTTATAACAAGATTATAGACGATTGATTAATTAAGCACTAGAGGCCCGTTGCATAAAGAATTCTCAAGCTGCGAATACGTTTTTGCTGTTCATTTCTATGATGTTGATGAAATTTTGAGTGCGGTCAGCTACCATCTTCCTTTGCTCCTTTTTTTTTTTTGATATGGCAAAGAGTTATTATTTTAATAAATGGTTTATTTACTCATAAAGCTGAATAGATGGGAAAGAATCTCGGTGGGTTGAACATAGTTATGAGCTGATGTCTGGTAGTATTCTAAATGTGTCTGGCCCCTTCAAAGTAATCAATGTTTAAGACTAATTTTGCTCTGTATGAGAGTTTCTCATATTAAATTATAGTTATTATCTTTAATGTGCATGATGGACGTTGCTTTTATATGGCAAAATTGGAATTATATATGCATCAATGTGCATGTTCTATTGATGTGTAAATATATGATTGAACACATCATAATCAAGTATAAGCTTGCCCATGCCTTTTATGGTTTATGCTTGTTTTGTTTGGTGATTAAAAGCTGTACAAGTAAATAAAAATACAACATGGAATGTGCATTGACCTCTCGAAGCTGCATGCGGGCTATAATGGTTTATATAGCATCCATAGTATTCATGGTTAGAGATGTTGTCTCAACTTTCATTTATGAACTCTTTTTTAAACAAGATGATTAATAAGAATGTCACCATGAAACCACAAATGCATGCCAAGCAAAACTTATATGATTTTTCCTTTGCAACTTAAAACCTAAATTAAGAAGTTTAGTTCAGGCATGATTTCAGCTGGGATAACATGGGGTAAAATGTTTAATATGGTATGGACATGCACAAAGAGGACTTATAGATACACCAATCCGATGAAGTATATAAATGAGGATTAATGGTGAATAGAAAGGTAATGGAAGAACTAATAGCCTTTATTAGAATCAACAAGGGGAAAGATTTGGTAACTTTTAATTTGACTAATTATATTGCCTTGAAAAGAGCTCAGTAGCATGAAAAGATTCATGCAACCAATGCAAATATTTGGGGACATTACAGCTTGTTGTTTTATGCACATCAGCACAGGCATGGTTAAATGGTTTAAATGATAATTTAGGTATGGCCAAAGCAACTCAGCCTAGGGTGTCAGCGAGCTTGTCTGTTTCATTTTCCTTTAGACTTCCAGTATTCATGTATTTTAATTTCTAGTATTGATGATGATACATTTTGTTGTAGCTTTATGACACATTTGTACTTCTGTTTGCAGGATTCAAGAATGCATCAATCCAGTTCTCAAGAACACTATGCAACTTAGCTGATATTCTATTCAATAGAAGGTATCTTATTGGTCTTTTGTTATGCTATGAGAAGTTCTTTTTCTTCTTGCTAGGCATATTTATGAGCAATTTAGATATAGAAAATTGATATATAGGGAGCCATGACCAAAAAGATTAATGACTGTCAGTTAGGTTTTAGTTCTGTGTCCAAGTTCCGTGTTCAACAAATAGGCAAAAACTTTGTTTCTTTGAAACAGAGTATAAATGTTTCATACAAGTTTCTGAAACTATCCAAGACACTTGTTACTAAGTAATGGATCTACAGATAACATGTCCTGAATATGAGTGAGATCTTCTCAGTTCTCATGGTTAGAGAAGGAAATTGCATTTTTCTTCTTGGTTGCTCATTATTTAGATTCGTCATAGTTCTATATCGGTTATATCATTGAAGTTTAAAAGTTTAAGGTGTTATATTAACTTTGTAGGAATTAGTCTGCCTTCTAGCTCTCAGATTTGGTGGATAAACTCTGCAAATTTCCATTGTAGTGACTTCTTATGTATGCATTTACTAAGCAGAGAATTTAAAGCATAGGTCTATAGCATAGGTCTAGGAACCTGTTTCTTTATTTGGTCCATTCGTTATAGTTTTGCAACTCATTGGTAATTCAAAAAGTTTCCTGTTGAGCTCTGGATTGCCTATTTAATTCACAGGCAGCATTAAGTTTCACATTTGCAATTGGTATATAGGGAGGGTTAAGTTTCACATTTGCCAAGTGCTTAAAAGTACTTGAAATGATCAGTCTATTTGATGCGAGACAAGTTGATGTTGGAAGACGTGCATCTACTGAATTTAGCTAGTCTGAAACATTTGTAGCATATTTTTCATGATTTGTAACAATTGAAAACTTTTCTAATTTCTTTGCTATTTTAACAGAAGTAAAGATGACCTGATAAACAATAAACGCAAACTTCTGCAACCTGGAAAAGTTTCCCCTCGTCTACATGTGCCAGATCACATATTGAAGCCTCCATATGTAAATTCTCATCACACACCGGGAATTGCTAGTGGACCTGAAATTCATGATGAAATGGGAAAAGAAAGCATGCGGGCATCTGGAAGGCTTGCTGCGCAAGTATTGGAATATGCTGGAACTCTTGTTCAGGTAATTGATTATTTGATTGGCATTTATGAAAATCCTTTTTGCACCCTGATTCTGGTTTTGGCACTGTTTAAGCTAATTGATAAAACATATGCTTACCTTGTTCATTAATGACCGGAAGTTTTAGTATAGCTTAATCTATGTTTGATGACTTGAATCATCAACAATGCAATTCCTGAATCATATTTTAATTCTAGATCTAAACTACTTCTGCAACCAAACTATAAACAATCAAGTATCAACAGCATCATCATCATCATCAACAACAGCAAAAGGTGATGTCCCAACTTTTTGATGTCAGCTACATTGATGATTATAAAATAAATGATTATGTCTATAAAGTGCATGCAGTTGCTTTTAAAAATTAGTGTAATAGCTGCTATTGTGATGTTTATGTCTATAAAAATATCTTAAAGCAATATCTCAATATGTTTTTCATGCATATAAAGGTAGATGAAGTTATCAATGTTTCTTTTTCTTATTTGTAATGATTAAACTAAATCATGCAAGTACTATGGTAATCATGGCATGTAGTAAGTACCCATGTTGAAGTTGTCAGCAGTTGGCTGCATGTACACAACATAAAGATTCACTTAAAATCGTGAATTTTAGTTGTTATGATATTCAAATTTTACAGTATCAGATACAATTATGATCAGAAGCTTGAGAGCTTACTGAAATCCTCATACAAATTTTGCCAAGTCTACCTTATGGTTGTACATGTTTTTACATAGGGGAGAAATATATCAACCCTTGAAGTTGTTCTGCAAGATCCAAATGGTTAATCAAGTTTTACCCCAACTAGCCTCCTGGAACTGTGTTTCTGGACTATCAGCTGAAAAAGAATGTATGGACTGTGCAATATTGTGCCTTTTAAAAAGTGCTTTCAGGATGTATCTGACATCAACAGTTTTTATATTATACTTTGTTGAAAATTTAGGTGAGGAGGCGATTTATTGTTTATTTTGATGCTTAAGCATGAGTTTATTCTATTGTGTCACATGCTTTGTGAATAGATGATCTTTGTATCTTTTATCTTCATATACCTTAATAATGGATGAAATTTATTTGCTTAGATATAAATTAATGTTATTGTCTATAGAAACTTGATTAAATTTCTATTGGCAGCCAGGTATTACAACTGATGAAATTGACAAAGCAGTTCACCAAATGATCGTTGATAATGGAGCATATCCTTCACCTCTTGGCTATGGTGGCTTCCCAAAGAGTGTTTGTACATCAATAAATGAATGTATTTGCCATGGGATACCAGATTCCCGTGCACTTGAGGTGCTGCCCTAACACATTATTTCTTCCCTTTTTTTAGCTATTTTAACTGTTGTTTTATTGGTTGGCAGGATGGTGATATCATCAATATCGATGTTACTGTATATCTTAATGTAAGTTAATGAACCTTGAAGCTCTATATCTATCATGGAACAATTAATTATGATGTCAGCTTGTAAGAGATACGGGGAGCTCTAATATCGGATGTTTCACCTTTATGATATTACTTGTGGCTTTTATCTGATACACAACTTTGTCATTGTAAATGTCACCAAATTTCAACTTCTTTTTTTTCACTTGATTGAAATCACAATGTAGGAGAGCATATGCACATATAATTTCACTTGATTGGAATCACAATGTCAGTGTAAATGTCACCATATTTCTGTTTTTAGTTTGGATTTGGAAGCAATGTGTCTAAATTGTTGGGTCAAGCAGTCAGCTGGCCTAATTGTTAAGCAATAGTTTGGATTCATGCTGTTTACAGTTGCAATATTCTTGAAATTGGTCAAACGTACGAGTCATTTATACTATTATATTCTTCATATGTTAACAAAACATCTATGGGCCAATCTGAGAAATAATTAGTCTTTAGAAGTCATATTTGAAGTGGTTCTGGTGTCTAATCCTTGTAAAATTAAAGGATATTTATGATTGTCTTTGTTGTTTTTTAATTTTGCGAGGCTAATTATTGAATAGAACCTTATTTCCTTGTATAGATGTTGAATAGTCAGTATGTCTGTTTCATGAGTTATTGACACTTCAAATATTCACCAGTTATTACTTCTCCTGATGGAGACTATACTTGCCATAGGTAAAGAGTAAAGAAGTATGTTGGACTTTTAGGTGCTATTTATTATTCTATGTAGTAATCTGAGTTTTATAACACTTATACTGTTCTGCACTTTGACGTGGGAAAACACATGGCATTTCTTTACTTGTACCTATAAGTTTGTTGCTTCTTCTCACTTATAAATTTCCAGATGATCTTACAGAAATTCATTATGATATCTAGGGCTATCATGGTGATACTTCTGCCACATTCTTTTGTGGTGATGTTGATGAGGATGCAAAGAAACTGGTTCAGGTAATGTTCTATAAATACAATTTTTATTTTCTGTTAGGCTTATAGTCAGTAAATTTACACTAATCCTTCAGCTTGGATTTCAGCTCATTTTTTTTATTTTGGTAATCCCTATTATGTCATTGTTCTAGTTCTTCAGTGTTTACACTATATCACTGTAATACCATTGTTATATTGCCACTTTTTTTGGTAGATGCATCAATTTTTTGTGATTTTGAATTTTTGACTGTAAATGTAATTTTAAAATACCAGTTCGACTTCTTATATTTTATTTGCATAAGAATTTCTTTAGCAGCTGGAATGATGAGTGCACCTAATGGATCTTAATGGTTATCCTTTAAGGTAACTAGAGAGTGTCTTCAGAAGGCGATATTAAGATGTGCACCTGGAGTGGAGTTCAAACAAATCGGCAAAACTATACAGTATGCAACTTCATAATATTTTAACTTCAGTTGTTGGGTATGTGATTATCTTTCAAGTGTGGGTATATTATTATTACACACATTCTGTTATGGATTGTAAGAATAAAAGAATGCTGCAATAACTCATTGCAGATTCATATTTGTTAGAAGTTTGTAGGTATTATATCATGCAACAAGTTGGACTGTGACATGTATGAATTATCTTGCTGATCACATATTGATATCCCAAAAGGTAGGTCTCCATTGAACTAAAGAGCCATCAATTTTTCGGGGAAATGACTTTAATAGCTAGGTCTCTTGTAAAACCAAAGAGCCATTTTGTGTATTTTTTGGGAGAAATATATCTGAAACAATGTGTGACTCAATCAACTTTAAGAAATCAACAAGTATATTTTTGCTCATGGGTTGTAATGGTTATGTGGTGTACTAGTTGTTATTGATAGTAGATATTTACTCAATATGCTGGTCAGTTACTGGCATGGAGTTTTGCAAACCAAGTTTATTTGCTCAACTGCCAGGGTCTGATTTCTCACTATTCTCCTCCTCTTCTCAACCTCCTTCTACTCATCCTCGCCATCTTCTTCCCTCCTCTTCTTCTTCTGCTGCTCCTTTCTGGTATTCAGTATGTACCAGCTGCATGGAATGGCATATACTTTGCCAGCCACTATTTGACATAGATATTGCTTATTGATACTTCAGTCCTTGCATGAACGGCCTTTTACTACTAAGTGCTAATATATTAATTTGTCCTGCAGACTTAACAGATGTATAGATCATTATAAGTATATATTCTACTATTAGTAATAATTACCTTTGTTTCAAGTAAGAGATTATAACATAATATAACTTATTTGATAAAGAAACTAAATGCATTATAGGTATAAGGAATTATTATAATTCAATTGCCTGTAGATGCTATGATAACAGTGTTTAATCTTTTTGATATAAATTTAAATACACTTGTAAAGATATTTTGATTGCTTTTAAGTTATTTGAGAACTCATGATATGAGTTTAAGCCTTTCATATGTTGGCTTCACCAGAATATCTTTTTGCAGCTATTAGATGGTTAATTGATCTTCTTTGAAAAATTGTTGTCTTCATATTCTTTTGTAATTCCATGTCGGTGCTACATTTTAGATTACCATGACCTTTGTGACAGTCATCATGTTGCATTAACTGGAGCATGGAGCAGTTGATTTTTGTTGTTTCTTCTTTTCTTGCTTTCTTGTGTACTAATTAGTGCATAAAATGACAATTTTAAATGCTAACAATTCAATTTTTTTCAAGTGATCATGCAGATAAGTTTCGGTTTGGCGTAGTTAGGCAGTTTGTTGGTCATGGTGTTGGACGCGTATTCCATGCTGATCCTGTTATCCTTCACTTTAGTAAGTCTTAAAATCAGTATCACTCATAATTTTAGGTGCCTATGGTGTTTAACACTTCCATAGGGTTTTAAGAGTGGTGGTTCATATATCTAAGAAATTAATTTTGTATTTTTTGTTCACTAAGTGCAGACATTCTAGAAGCATATGGTTGATGTAAAAGAAGAGTCTTGTAGCTTCAAGTTGAGATCTTCTTATGGCAATAAATTATTCTTTGCAGGAAATAATGAGCGTGGATGTATGATACTCGGTCAAACATTTACAATAGGTAACTCCTGATTATTTTATTGTGGAATATCAGTGTTTTCTTGTTATTATCAGTCTGTTGGTGCATTTTTCTAATCTAGGAGGTGTTTACGAATTTTGATGACTGAATCTCTGTTTAGAAAAGATATCCACAGAAGTAGAAACTTCTTTCTTTGGCAAAATCTACAAGTCAATAATGCATTGTTTCATATCTCACATAGTCAGGGAGATTTAATGAAAAAAAATAACTTTGGTGTGGCTTGAAATATTCTTAATTTCTGAATCAGAAAATCAAAGTCATTTTTTGAATATCTGGCTGACATCTTTTATTTCCATTATAAAGAATACTGTCCGGTTGATTGAAATCTTCATGTTAACATCTGACACCAAATAATAAGAGTAAGTTTTAAATATTTATGTTGGTGTCTGATTTCCAGTAATAAACAGTGTTTGTTCTCCACTAGTGGAATGGATAAAATGGTTTGTACTTTGTAGTTCACGACGCACGAGATTCCAGTGAGGAGAAGTGCAAAATATTGATGCCATATTCATGTAACATTTATGCAAGCCAGTATATGATGTGCTAGACAAACATGAATCATATAATTCTGTACAGGCCTTATAAGAATCGTATACTGATGCATTTATTATTCTCTTGGTCCTGTCAACATTACGGAATGACACTTGTATATATTTGGTTTGCTTTCAGTCAGCATTCATTCTCCACATCTAGCACAAACTAATAAAGTTATCATGATTTGTTTATTACTTTATTTCTTATGCACGCGAGTGTTTAGAGAAAGCATATTGGATTTGTTTCACTTCTAGTCCTTCGCCACAAACTTTCCTGCGCCTATGGAGACAACATAACCGTTGTTCATTTTTTTCGGTATTAGCCTTCTAGCACAAAAATGTGGAATCATAGCATGTCAAAACGTTTCAGCAGATAGTGTAGGATTTCACAATTTGAATGAATCTGATTTTGTTTATAATCCCAAGAAACTCGATGGTATTATACTTGTTTTGAAGTCTGATTGATTCATGCAGAACCTATGCTTACAATGGGGAGCACTAGATCTGTCATATGGGATGATAACTGGACTGCGGTAACCGAAGACGGAAGCCTATCTGCCCAATTTGAGCACACCATACTGATCACAGAAAATGGGGCAGAAATACTGACACAATGCTAGAAATATATTCAAGATTGAGACTCCATTGTGTGATTCAGCAAACTCATTCATCTTTCATGGAAGAACATTCCTGGTACTGTATTACTACCTCATATACTATTCGAGCTGCAGTTGACTTGCTTTGGCTGGCCATTTCCTCCATGTATTATTATTTGTAAATTTCTTGCAGTTTCTCAATCAAAAGGTACCTTTGCATCAAAAATCTATTTCTCAAAATGCATTATTTTAGCCTCTTGCTTCAACTTATAATCTGTGTTGTTTTGAAGTGGTTCCCTCTCGTCTTGAGGTGGAGAAATATTTTCATTACCCAACATTCAATAATTGTCTGCACCTTTTACATCCAAATTATTTCATATATTATGATTAAAGTTGACCAATTAAATTGTGGACGTGTTGTGTCTCTCAGGATTGCTATTACTAAATCCAGAATTGGAAAAAGAAGAATTTTTTGTTCCATGGTCAAATCTATTGTTTCTTATTTCATTCCTCCTCCTCCTCGGTCAAACGATTTGCTTCTCCACCCACTACGTTTACCATTTAAAAACGCTTGCTTCGATCCTTATTTCTGAACCCAAATCCTTCGTAAGGTTTTCAGATCCTCATGGCAACAGCCATCAGATACACAAGGAAAGACTTGGAAACAAGTGCGAGGAAGACGAGCATGAAGGTCGTGGCATCAGTCCAAGAGTTCGACTTCGGCACCGTGACCACCGTCCCCTACGGCAGTGCTCCGTCGAGCCCCAAGCACTCGGACGACCCCTTCGCCCTCTACTGCCGTTGCACCAGTGCGCCCACCAGCCCAACTCATGCCGCCGCCGTCTGTGCACGCTTCTGCGGCAGTGGCTGTCTTCCGCCCTCGCGTTCCTCGCACACCTCCCGCGTCCCTTTCGTCTGGGAAGAGAAGCCCGGCACCCGCAAGTCTCATTTCAGCTTCCCTGGTGAAGATGACAACGGCGACAAGCTCCGCTTCGCTTTCGGTCTCAGAGGGAAGAAGCCGGGAACCACGGTCGACGACGGTCAGCTCTTTGAGGAGGGAAGAGCTCCGCCCCTGAAGCCGCCTCCTCGTCTTCAATACCCAACGTTGGACGACGGAGTCTGTGTCACCTCATCCCCGCGGTCTCCGAGGCCCCCCCGATTGAGGGGTTTGTGGTCTGCCGGCCACCAAGGTAAGGGAGGAGCGGAAGAAGAGCTTGATCCCTTCACCATTGCGATGATGGAAGCAACAAGAGACGGACCAGGGAGCGAGAAGGCTACTGCCTCTAGCTTTGCCAATCGGGCCAAGGGCGGCGCAAGCAGCAAGTGGCGACTGCGGGAGCTGCTCCTGTTCCGGAGCGCGTCAAGGGAGCTTCTCGGCAGGTACACTTTTCTGTCGTCGTCATCATCATCCAACGCAAACTTCGTATCGACGCACGGCCATAATTCATCGCATGAAGACGGGGCAGCATCGGAGGAGCTGAAGAAGACGACTGCTCCGCGACACCGGCAGGGCCTCCTCAGTCGCATTCGCTTCCGCGGCTACCCCTTCAACCGCGGACATTAATGGAAATCATGCTGTTATCTCTTTGGTGGGATTTCGATTCTCAATTGCTTGATGTAGATTTATCTACTGTTTCCTTGTGTTGTAGTAATGGAAAGACTCGGATGCAATAACATCATCTCACTGTTCCTCGGTGACACCTCTACTCCACAATATTTCTACGCCTATATGTGAATACATAAGCTCAGAACTAATGTGCCTGAGATATATGCCATAAAATATACATATCTTCATCAAGAACAATTCAGCTAGTGAGAATCACGACGAGCACCATCTGTAGATGGCCAGGAAAAGAAAGTTGTGAGATGTTACATGATCCAAGATAAAAAGACTCAACGTGATCCATGTGAGATCTTACGTATGAAACCATCGAGGATTCAAACTACCATTAAGTGTTGTATGCCATTCCTGTGTATTATCGAGTTTCTTAGGTCAATGTTCAACTTATTAATGAGTCGCCTATTGCTATTAATATGTATTATTTTGATGTCACAACATTGCTGCCGTCCTTCGGCGGCCTCATCGAAAGAGAGGAAACTGCACACATGCTTTTTTGCTCCATTTCTAATTGGTTCATGAAATAGCTGCCGACTTCTTTGAGGTCATAGAAGACGTGAGAACTACTAACTCTTTATTGCAATACAAGTTTCGGAAAACAACATGCTTGCCAAGCACGTTTAATGGAATTATGATAACTGATGACCATAAGCTTGGTGGAATTATGCACGCCAAGCACGTAGTTGGATTTATTTTCTTAATAGGATCTAATGGTCGTAGAAGGGTTATACGATATATTTTCATGCACCAAGCACAGGAAATATACACACCGTTATAGTGACAAAAGGTCTCAATATATCATGCATCAAGAACAGACAAGACAGCTTCAGACAAGTTTAGCTTGATGTCATTGGAACCTGGCTAAGCTTGGAAGAGACAACCGATCAATACCTTGAATTTTCCAAGGGCAAAAAACCTTGGCATGTAATTAAACAAGTACAAGAGTATAGTATCTAAAAGAAGAGAAAAAAAAAAAGTATTGTACACTCAAATGTATGTAGCGTATATCTCCATTTACCAGTTATAGTTTGCCTGAAATAATTTCATGAGGAAACTATGGATCAGCATACGATGGTGTGCCAAACCTGATATTAACCACGAACAGCAATTCGTCACAGGACATGGCTTCCAGGTACAGCAAACACGACGCAAAATAGATATAATCATCTCAGGGTGATATTTGGATCTTCTTCATCTGAGTCAAACTCAACCTGTATTTCCATCAGATAAATTTACTTTAGATCAGTTAACTGTACTCTGAACAGTTCTGAATCTAAAATCAAGCTTGAACTTTCCTCCAAGACATGATAAAAACTCACTAATGATAGCCAGCTAATCATTAATCAAGTGCTCAAGGATTATATGACTTACCAGCTCTGGTCACTAGAAATAATATGCACAAGCATGGATCTATTATTGAGGAAGACCTTACTTCCATATTGCGAACTAGGTAAGTTATCTCACATCACAATTTATGATACCAGGTATACTTAAGACCACCACGATTACTCATACGTTAAATATGCACATGCAACAAGAATATTGTGCCTAGATGCAGAGCTACAAATTAATTAGTTGACTTATTCAAAGTATATTGCATAAAATAGCAGCAGAACTCACGTTTTCATCTCTGTACCATTTTCCATGACAATCCCTCTTCCAACCTGCAGAAGTAAATTTGAGTTCTTTCTCTCGGCGCTCACTAAACTCCGAATGCCAATCGGTAAGCATCTTATTAGTTGCTGCAGTCATCAGCAATTTTTTTTCATTGCTGTTACTAGACTCACAAGCATCATTTCCGGATGGCTCTCTGATGCCATCAGCAGCAGGAGAGTGTTTTGAATCACACACAGAAGATCGTGTTCGTAGTTCAGTTTTGTGACCAGCAACAACAAATTTTGGATTCTCCATTTGGTTGCTCTTTGTTTCTAAAATTGCCTTCATGGTCTTTTGGATGAGTGGCTTGTTATGGAACCCTGAACTCTTCCCTTGTTGCACTAAAATATCAGAACTTGAAAGACCAGTAGAATCATCAGATAAGGCTATTCTCTTGTGTAATTCATTCCGTTTTGATAATTCACTTGCTCTCACCCTTGATTCTGCAGCAATGTGGCGAGATCCCTTATTATGTACCTGTTGCAATATTACAGTCAGATATGATAGTGTTAAAAATAATAATAATTTCGACAATATTAAGTTTCAAATATATAGGACTTGCAGATGCATGATATACGATTATCTTTTCATGTTAGAATCTAAATTGCTCCAAACTCGTTACAGTGTCAGATGCAATATGAATTCAGTCATAGCCATTGCTTTATTTTAGAATATGGAGTTATGATCCAAAAGAGTCGATCAAAATATGGATACATGAACATGAGTACATATATTGAAGCTACGAAAGGCATGACCAATAATATTTACGTACATGTATATTGTTTATTTTAGCTTTTAGTTATTTGATATATGTTAAAATATTAGTGTTGTATGTTTTTACTTAAATTTAATCTTGGAGAAGATCTTATGGGACTCAACTCACCAAATCTCCGTTCATTCCTACGCATGCTATCCCATGAGCACAAACTCAGCAGCACGGTGGCGAAGGCAACAACAGTGAGAGATAAGCAGCAGATGGTGTAAAATTTTTCCTATATCCAGTACCTACCTTATGTCCAATATCCAGTTTCCTGTGTCCGTATACTTACTTCATACCAAAGAAGAAAAATGTAAATTTTACTCCAAGCTTTTTATGCTTAATTTCTATTTGTAATAACTGTCTTTAAAACCTTGCAACATATTATTAGCAAACTTGTATTCTCAAATGGGGTGAATAATGAAGAACCAAAGAACCTTCAACATGAGCCATCTAGTCCACTAAGCTGGTCCTGTTTAAACAATTGCCTTTTGGCACAGTTTGATGCTTATATTATGTACCTTCAATGAAAATTATGTTTGAATAATTTATTACTGATTGCAGACTTATGAATCAGTGTACCGAAGACCAATGAGATCAACATATGCCAATATAAAAAATGAATAATTACTGAACGAGGTCTTAGAAAATGAAAACTCTATCAATTCATTTGCAATTATTTAAGCATAAAAGTATAACCAGCTGAGACATAAGAGAGATGACAGGGTTTATGCAAAGAGTCATAATCGTATCTACATTGAATTAGTACAAATAATATTCCCAATATAACAAATAACGAAAATCCCATCTTTTCTTCCTTGTCCTTTTCACTATCTGCATCTGTTAAAAAAATATTCTTTATCTTTTCTTCCTTCTATCTGCATCCGTCAAAAAAATTATTCTTTGGCTAACGAGTAAATGTATCTACATGATAAAAGTATATGTTTCTTGACAACCATGGCAATTCCAAGAGACATCTCTTTTCCCTTTTTCTCAGATACACTGTCTTAGCAAGAAATACAAGTAATCTTCAATATAAGTTCTGTTTGGGGATATCAAAGTGAAGTACAGTGGCTTACCGACAACATGAGAGGGGTATCTAGGATGGGGTTGTGAGGGCAGACGAGGCAGGCATACTTGCCGTTGGAGAGCTTCTTGAAAGAAGGGAATGAAGCATCCCGGAAGGAGGAGGAGGAGGAGGACAGCATGAGATCGTCCACTCTTCTCTTCCGGTGATGCGCCTCTCTTGCCCAGCTATCCCCACCATACGTGCTCATCTCAGCTGCTGCTGCTGGCTCACCGACAACAAAAACTGCCCGAAATAAACACAACAAATATGTCACGTGAATCGCAAGATGAGCCAATCGATGGATGCTCCAAAGATACAGAGATCGCCGACTTACTCCCAAATGCCCTGACTAGATTTGATCGCTCAAATCGCCTTCGAAACAATCTCTCGTCGCAAGGATCCTTTTCGATTTCGTACTCCTGAAATCAGGGATAAGCGTCCCGCTCTCGATCTCGTCGGCGAGTCTCATATCAACGATCAAAGCTTTGGTGAATGAAAGAGAAGTCGAGCAAGCCTTTCAGGAACAGAAGAAGAGAGGGGGTGATGTCGGCAGATGGGACGGTTTGCGAGTCGAGGGCGAAGAGGGACGCGTGTCTGCGAACATCGTTTCTTCGGACTCGTGCTTGATGTTTCTTTTTAGGTCTGCGCCTCGCATTTCTTTTAGGGGAAAATAATTTGGGACGATTTCCTTAAAATAATATATATATATATAATTCGAAATATAATTATTTTCAAACTATATATATATATATATATATATATATATATATATATATATATATATATATATATATATATATATATAGTTCACAAAGCGAAGCCCTCTAAATTATTTTTCCACTTAGAAATAGGGATTTATCTTAAACTCTAAATAAAGCTACATCTTCTTAAGTGATCCCTCAAGCTTGGCAAGACCTCCTTACAGGCAGCACAGAGAACTTCATGAGCCCAACGGTGCAATGAATGCCACCGCGCTCTCCACACACAAAGTAGTGAGGCTTCCTCCTCTTCAGCACAAACTCGAAGCCAGCGCCACCTCCTTGCACGACGTTGGCCACAAGCTGCGCCTTCTTCAGGTCGCAGGCCTCGAAGCTACGTAGGCTCTTCAACAGGTACACGCTGTGCGGGAACGTGGTACTGTTCGGAGGATCGTACATGAACACTGCACCAAAACAACGCAAATAAGCAGCCGTATGCATGCGTGGGAGAGAGAGAGAGAGCAGTATTCACCCAAGATATCGTTTCGGTAGAACGGGGCATTCTTGATCGCCCAGTCTGTATAGTTGTAGCCGAAGGTCCAATGTGCCGCGTCGCCGACGATGATTCTTGCCGCAAGAGATGTTCCTGAAATGAAAGCTAGAACGAGAAGAACAACGCCGACTCTCATGGCCATATCTCAACAAAGAGATGAAATAAGGTGGTGCAAAGAGAGGTTTGAGGTGATCTCTTTATATATAGAAGAGATGACCGAGAACCATCGAATGGAATGGCTCATTAAATATAGCAGCGTGCACAAAAGTCTGAGATCACGAAATATGGTGGATGGAATGTTTACAGGTAAAGCTCCACAACGTTTAGACTAAGGACTAAGTGGGTTGGTGTTCTTATGATGACTATGATGAGCTTCAGATTTGGGTGGTAGACACAGAAGAGTTAACCTTTATCATCTTGACTTGGTTGTTTAGTATAATTTGTTTAATTTTATGACTATAAAAAAAGAGTATCCATCAACATAAGATTTCAAAAAGATCTATCTACTAATTTGATCTTTAAATATTATTAAGAAATTGCTTATATCATTAACACTGATTTGAAAAAAGTTTTTATATATAATCTTACTTGTAAACATAAAAATTATAATATAATTGAGGAACCATATCATGTGGCGACTACATGTTAGTCATGTACCAACAGCCACATGTCACTGAATGTGTTGTCATTTGGTTGGTGTTAATGCGACAATGGTTCTAATGTGGTATATAAATCATTTGGTTTTAATATGATATTCTTATGATGATGGGTGACGTGGCACTAATTTATCTGAAGTGATAATCACATCAATCCATATTATTTTTTTTATAACACAACTTAAAATATATTTTTTTATAAATCCATCCTTTTTAATTAGGATATTTATCTTAATAAATTCTAAATGTTTTGAAAATAGCATATTTATCATCATAAAATTTAATATAATGATTATTCTCATTTTAATGATATAAATTTATAAACTCTTATTCTCACTATAATTATTATGATATCATAATAATTAATGAGTAAAGTCATAAGAAAAAACTCTAATTTTTATTTTTTGGCATAGTGTCCTTTTTTAGTTTATTTATGCAAAGTATTCTTTATTTTCTAAAAGATGAGAAGTTGTTCTTCCGTTAGATAAAGAAGAAATAAGCTCCGTTAAATTTCCCGTCACTATGATTACGTGGGAGAAGCAGGCAGTGATGCGGGCCCGAGAGGCCCACCAAACACGTCTGGTGTTTAGGCCACGTGGAGTCCATTGGAGCAGGGTTGATAACAGCGCAGGTGTTTGAAGCTCAACAGCTGATCTTCTCCAGCAGTGGAAGCGATCGGTCATTTCGGAATCCGTCGCCTCAACCACAGCATCGGAGAGAGGAAGAGAGAGAGAGAGAGAGAGAGAGAGAGAAAGAGAGAAATCTCTCCAAGATCAAAGAAGGCGGTTAGAGAGGCCCCAAAGCGTGGGTGGCGAACGATACTGAGGTGAAGAGAGGCTGTTCTCGTCGATCCCTTTGTTTTTGGTTCTTCTTCTTCTTCTTCTTCTTCTTTTGGTATAGTGTTCTACATCTTTAGTGGCAGATAGAGCGAGTAGTGTTCCTTTCTCTCCTTCCATCCCTTCTTTGCTCTGATGAATGATGAGGTTAGGACATGAACATTTTGGTTGTTTTGTAGCAGTATGATTAACCTTGTGTTGCTACGGCTGTATCTTCTATGGAGGTAGGTTGATGACCGCTGTAGAATGTGCTCCATCATTTGGTAGATTATTCTCTTCTTGATGTTTTTGTTATGTTTATGTTGTAGCGATGCATTTTATGGAAATGATTCGCATAGAGACTGTTGTGGATTTCATACTGTTTCTGTTTTTCCCTAAAATCTGAACTAGCCTGGTTGGATGTCAAGGGAGGTATGCGGATGTGGTATTATTGGAGACATCCGAGGAGTAGTGATAACAAAACATCTAGTAAAGAACATACAGATATTAATTTTTATCTAGGAGAAAAGTTATGTTCGATTTTATTGGATGAACCAAAGCACATAGTGTTTTTAAGAAAATGAAAATTTGGTGACTTGGATTTTTCATTAGTAGCCATATATAAATCACATATGAAGCTTACTTGAAGACCCTATTATTGTGAAGGGGGTAAAAAGATACAGTGTGTGATGTGTAATTTCCTACTATTCACAAGAGTTTAACCATGTGTTCAAGATTGGAAGAGAGCAAGATGCCAAGTTGAAAACAAAAATTGATAGAAATTCCTGAAAGTTTATGTTTCTTCATGGAACAGGTTGCTAGAGTGCAGGTGACATAAAAAATGTCACTTGATTGCACATTCATGTTTAACCAGGCACTTGTTTCTGTTAGGATCTTGAACAATCACTACCTAGTATATGCCTTCTAAAAGAACCAGTTGTATTTCCCACATAAACAAAAATTGAAAAATGATTTATTTTTTTTTGTTTGTTTTTATAAATCTCAGATTATCTACACTAAATTCCTTTTTTGTTCTACATTGTTGTTTTTAGCTGTTTTGACATTGATAGTATCTTGTTGAAATTATATCTGCATGATATATCACTCAATATATTGAATAAAAGCACTTAAGGTTTTTCATAAATGTTACTTATCTTCTCAATACCCTAGTTTTAGAAGTGCTTATCGTCTTAAGGATATAGGTTTACTCTCCTGAACAACTTAGCCTGTAATCGTGCCGATTCATGTATTTAAATGATGCGTTGGCCTTGGTCGTTCACCATATCTTATGTTGATCCTGAGTTATCTTGGATTTATTTACATTCATCACACATGCTTCTGCATTTGACATTCATATATAATGCTTGTCCTGTTCAAGAAAATTTGTAACACCTCCTCCTTTCATATAAATAATGTCCCAAGGCATATTTCTTGTTTTGATTTCCTGCAAACAACCTCCACTAATGATGTTAATATTCCTTCAAATGTTTATCTTTAAGTTCTAGTTTGTACATATTTGTCTTTGCTCTAACTGTTTCTCATCAGGTCCTTTATTTTGCTTCAAATTAAAGATAGCATATACAATGTAGTGATTGATGTGTGTTATGTGTTGCATTAGGTGCAAGCCTCTATTTGTTTCAGCTAAAATATAATGAAAGGGCATGCTTTTAGAAGTACTGCAACTTGTGTTAGCAATAGTTTGGAAGCATCTGGGAATAATCAGTTGTTCCAAAAATTCATACCGGGGGATATTGCATGGATCAAAATCCATAACAATTCATGGTGGCCTGGTCAGGTATTCAGCATAGTATTAGAATCTACAATAATTTTTTTCTGTCCTGCAGTAGTTGGAAGATTGATAAATGCCAAAATTCACACCTAGAAGTTCTGGAAGATTGGAAAACTTGTTTCCTTAGATTTCTTGCACCAAATTTTTTGGATGTTGCTGCCACTGTTGACAAGTCCTTGTATCTGCTAACTCTACCTGGACTTGCTTTGGGTGATTAAAATTTCTTTCTGCTGGTCTTTTTTGAATCTATTTCTTTATGTCTTGTTTCTCTGATGACAAAAGACCTTCTAATTACATAAATACAAATGAATATCCCCTTTTCTTGAAGCATAAGTATGAAGAATATTTTGTGCTCATATGAGTTTAAGAGGTGTTTGTAAATTATCCAAGAAGCTAGATCTGTTGGATTAGTAACTATGTATTTACAAAGCATCCAAAAAACTAGATATGTTAGGTTGATAACTAAGTAATTTCTATATACATTGTGGTGGCTTAGTATATCTAGAATATCAAAATAACTGTCTTTGTGTCTTTATATTGCTAATTTTAAAGGTTGTTGATGAGAAAAGCATTGATGTTAAACCCAAAAGGAAATCAAAGGATGAAATTCTCATTCGCTTGTATGGAACCTATGACTAGTGAGTTTTGTGGTCTTTGTTCCTTTCACATTGATTTCCACAGGACCATTTATTGATAATTGTTCATTCCCTCAGCTTGTACATGGACCCTTTGAAGTGCAATATGGAGTTTGAGAATGTGAGTTACCATATCATGTCTTGGCTTAAGCACTTGTTTCTGCTTTCCTCTACTTGGATATATTACTTTTTAATTATCATGTTTTTATTGTGAACAAGAATCACTTGATTGTATGTTCTGGATGAGATGCAGTTTCTCAAGCAAGATAATATTACCATGAAAGAAGCATTCCAAAAATCACTGGACGAGGTGCTATTTGTTGATCTTTTGATATATCATATCCACAGTATCTTAATTCATCCTTTCAAAAGGTTGAATACTATTCATTTCTTCAATCATTTGTCTGAAATAACAGGACCTTTCTCATACAATATCAAGTGGCTATTCTAAGGGACGAGTTTCTCACTTTAGAGGTTAGGGAAATCTCCACCATCTTAGATTAAATTGTGGAACACAATTATTTTAGTTTTTTCTTGTATTGTAAAACTTGATGTAATGTTTGACCTATTTTCTTGGCTTGTTTTTTGTCCTGAAAAATTGATTCTGTAATTCAAAATATAATTACAACAAGGCAATTGATGAGTTGACAGCCCCTGCTGGGAAGAGTGATGCAGGAGAGCACCCAAGATGATTACACACAGTATTTCTTTCTTAGAGTTTCATAAAGTCAAGTGTTAAAGTTTAATCAATTTGTGTTTTCTATTTTTTTTTTCATATTTTGAGATGCATATGATCCTACTTATGACTGCTGTCAATTTTCAGCTATTTATTTTTTTGTCAGTTTAGATGTCTGGGATTGGAGAGTCCTTAAACTAGTAGCAATCACGTTTTGAAAAATCTTGATGTCACTTTACACTGGATTTAAGAAAATCATGAGATTTACTATCTGGTAAGTGTTCTTACTAGTGGTCTCAGTAGCCTATATAAAGTTTGATTGTTTAGTAGCTAGTGATGGCTTCGAAGATTATAAAGAAGTCAATACAATATGATTATCTTTCTCTTGCTTCTGATGAGTGATGTGGTGTTGTGAAACTAACCACTCTAAATGTGACCGGTAGAAATTAGTGTGGCATCGGTATCGTCTCTCATCTAATCGCCTCTTCATCTATTTTTGTTCCATGTTTTCAAAAAAAATATGAAATGTTTCTTTTGCTATAATTCATATCAACTTTGACAGATTTACTTGTCAACCTTATTAACAATATTCCATTATTATTCTTTCCTTGCCTTTTTTATTTCAAAGAAACAAGGTTATATCATGGTCTGAGAGTGGTTAATAATTGATTGGGCCACTATGATACCAATCTAATGAACAGGACACTGACCCATTGTTTGATATCACCCAAAAAATTAAAAGTATAGATGCTATACTGACCTTTATAATCTGGTATCGGTCCCTGATCGGAGTGTTAAATGCTGGTCTATGCCGACTGGGTTAACCAATTTGATTTCTTGCTCCTAAACCTCAGAAAACGTCATATAGATATTCACTGATAACTATTGTTTTTGTTTTACTTTGCAGGACATACAACATCTGAATCACCTAAAGGCAAAATGCAAAAGCAAATCAAGACTGCAAGGAACCAGAAAGAAGTTGGTTCTCCATCTGTGAGAGTACATTTGTCAAATTGTTATAGAAGTTAATCTGTCTTTCAGCATAAATAAAAGCTATCATATTATGACTTGACTACTATGTGAATCTAGTTGCAATCATTTTTAGTTTATAAGGACTATACCGGAGAAAAGATGCTGGATATCTTAGCCATTGGACTAATGTAAGTTTCTTTTCAGTTAGGTTCTTCGAATAAACAAAAAGAAGGAAGCTCAAAGCAAAAGAGAAAATATGATGCAAGAGATAAAGCTGCAAGGAATACAAAAACTAAAGAAGATGAAGGAAGAGAACAAAGGATAAATGTTAAGTATGGGAAAGAAGCTATAGGAGGCAACAGCATACGACAAGGTACACCTGAAAACCATAATATTGCAGAGAAAGAAATAATTGGGGCTTCTGGAGTCAACAGCACAAAAAGAGATTGTTTAAGGCGATCACCACGCAATGCCGATAAGAAGCATGAAATGGAAATGTATATAATAGAATGGTCCAGGTGCCAATATACAGAGTCTTGTGGATCAGGAAAGTTAAACATGATGGATAAAGTGAACAGTGGAGCTTCTAACATGAAAGTTATGGAGCAACTTTGCTCAGAGCAATCGAGACAAATGGATAGGGTACATATAAAAGAAAAGCTTCCAGGTAAAGCTTCAAAAGAAACTTCTGGGGATGAAGCTGCTGGAACTGTAATTGTCAAGAAATATACCCTAAGAAAACGAAAGCAAAAGGATGCCCAGCTAGAGGTTAAAAAAAATTTTATTAGTGAAATGTCAAAAGACAAAGGCAAAAAAAATCATGAGTCAGGACTCCAAGATTATGTAGACAAAGGAGCTAATAGGGATCTTGTACCTAAAAGAATTAGGCAAAATGATTTTCAAGAACTAAATCATAAAAATGTTGCAGAACAGACCATGGAAATGTTTAGCAATGAGGTAGCTGGAAACAGATCCATGGAGCAGGGTGAAGCAAGGAAAAATATCGCAATGAAGATGGTGAGGATTGCTGCTTCGACATGCAAAAACATGAAGCCAAGTGACTTCGAAGAACAAAAGCGTGGAAATGCTACACAGCCGAAGAAGATAGAGAGCCTTAAATCTGTAAGTATATATCAGTTTTTCCTTTTGTAAATTATATATTCAGCTTTTGTTCTGATCCCAATTTCATGCAGGATCATCAGGCCAAGTTTTCTGCACCAGAATCAGCAGTAGATATTAGTGCTAGAAAAACTAAAGTGATGCGAAGTTTGGGTCTCATTCCACCATCCGGATCGCCATTCCACACAAACAGAATATTGGAAGTAGCACACTTGAAAACTTAATTGCAAATGTTCATTTTTTGTAAAAGCCAGCCTAAAACGTTACTTGGTTTGTGACTCAGGCTCAAAAGCTAAAGCCCATTTTGTTGAAGAGTCTCATGGTCACATATGTAGGATAAGTAAGAAGTTTTTGTGCAGCATTTTTTTTTGCAGGTTCAGATTTTCAAGATGTGTGTATCTGACACCTATCAATCTCTATGGAAGCTACTTATATGATCATACTTTGTCTCAAGTTGGGAGCCTTCATTGTTGTAGAGTATTTAAGTCATTTATCCCCTTTTCAATATATATATATATATATAGTTAAAGTTTTTATTAATAATATATTTTTTTCATAGGGGAATAGGAGGGATTGATCTATTTAATAGGCATATGTGTGGAGAGGTTTTATTTGTTTTAATCTAATGTGGAATTTATTCTCTTGGAAGAATATTTGCTTTGGAATAAATGTTGGATTATATTCTTTTTGAAGTGGACAATCGAGTTCCACAAAAAAAATGTGGTTCTCGAATAACATCAGTATATTCATGAAATCAGTAACGCGATTTTGCTGTCAACGAAAAAGCTGGCAACTTGCAATTAATCGATGATCGTTTGAGAGCTTATCTATTGCCAAAGCATCCACACAGCTATTTGTAAGGTGTGGATGCATCAATTGAATCAACCTGGAAAACGTACTTGGTCAGAATTGGTACTGTTCCAACCACCGGAGGAGAAAAGTCTACATGCATTGTTTTCTTACTGTAATATGCATTATTTCTTTTCTTTTGACTTTGATGCTTTTGGTTTGAAAGAGGGTTTTCATTCGATGTATCCATCGCAAATTTCTTTTGACGATTCTGTTTGTTTATATATCTGTATATTCTTTTATGAGCTTCTATATTCCTAAAACATGAATAAAAATATTAACGTAAACAATATTACGTAGATCGGATCGTTCCGAACTCTTCTGGATGGGAATCTTTCGTCCATTTCGATTATGTTATTAGTAGATTATACTAATACGTGCTTACCATCGTGAAAAGACTAAGACGAGGGTCAACCATTGAATTGTCAACGGGCTGCCCGCTCTTTCCGGTCCACCGGGAGCGGTCGGCCTGCACCGCTGCCGCGTCCCGTGCGTCACGCCATCCTGATGGGCCCCATGTTCAGTCATCCAAGCTGTGGCTGACACGTGCACCGCATGGGAAAAGGTCTTCTCAGGTCGCTCTCCTACCTAAACCACACGACTCCTAATACAATTACCCTTGACGCGTTACCCGTCTTCATAACCGGACCTGTGATGGTAGGTATCAATGAGCCTCGTTATGGGTCCCACATTGGTTCCTTCGTGGGTTGATCGAACGCGCAAAGCATCGAGTTACGCTGAAGCAGGTGCGCACTCCTCGGACGGTTACCAATCACCAAACGCGAAAGTGAACGTTCTTCCCAATAGCGTCGGCAGTGACGAACAAAAGATCGGGCCCCACCCTTCCTCTAAAATCAACAGCCGTACGCACCATTGACGGACGGCGTCGATGAAACCTGTGGCAGTGGTGCATCAAATCACGTGTAAATACGCGTGCACGAGTGGCAACGCACCCTCGGCCGGTCGCGGACGATGGGGGAGCACCAAGAACCGTTCGATGCTTAATCAACGGCCAAGATTCCACCTCAGGGAAGAATACCAGACGGTTCCAAACCCTAAGCCAGTTGTTTTCTGCCAATTAAAAGTAAAATCCGCGTCTAGAGAGGAATCGGACCCTCCCCCGGACTCGGCCTCCCCCTCCTCGACTTCGCGTCGGCTTCTTCCTTCCTCCTTCTCTCGTCATGGCATCTGGGAGCTCAGCACACATTATAAATTGCTCACCCTCCGCCTCTCCTCCAACTCGTACTTACACAGAAGCATATGTCTCAGCGGCCCAGCGTTCCACACTCCTCTTCCGTAGCCTTCGCCCTCCACTCCCATCTCCTGGTCTCCAGTGAGATGAACTCCAACTCCAACTGGTTATCGCTGTAATTTTAGCGATCCAAAGGAGCCTACTTTCCGATCCTTTCTGCCTGGAGTTGGGATTTTGTCCGCCCCCTTGGCCTAAAGGATCCACCTTGAGCATTATTTTTAGTTGATTTATTCTTTTTATTCTGCGAACGAGAGATGGGCGTGAAAGGATTCGTGGAAGGAGGCATCGCCTCGATCGTGGCCGGCTGTTCCACCCACCCCCTCGACCTTATCAAGGTCCGCATGCAGCTCCAAGGCGAGGCCCTCAGCCCCGCGGTCTCCTCCCTCCGCCCAGCCGTCGCCCTCCAGGGTGCTTCTGGCTTGGCCACCATTCATCATCACCAGCCGTCCCTTCCCCTGCCGCGCCGCCCTGGACCGATTGCGGTGGGCGCACAGATCCTCCGCGCGGAGGGCCCTGCTGGGCTATTCTCTGGGGTCTCTGCTACTGTTCTCCGCCAGACCCTCTACTCCACCACCCGCATGGGCCTTTACGACATGCTGAAGAAGCGCTGGTCCGCGTCCGGCGACGGTGCGTCCCTCCCGCTTCATCGCAAGATCGCCGCCGGCCTCATCGCCGGTGGGATCGGGGCGGCGGTCGGGAACCCCGCCGACGTGGCCATGGTCCGGATGCAAGCCGACGGGCGGCTTCCCCCCGCTGAGCGCCGGAACTACCGGAGCGTGCTCGACGCCATCGGGCGAATGGCCCGCCAGGAAGGGGTCGGGAGCCTGTGGCGTGGGTCGTCGCTGACGGTGAACCGGGCGATGATCGTCACGGCGTCGCAGCTGGCGACGTACGACCAGGCGAAGGAGGCGATCCTGCGGCAGCGCGGGGCGGGGGCAGACGGGCTGGGGACGCACGTGGCGGCGAGCTTCGCAGCGGGGCTCGTTGCGGCAGTGGCGTCGAACCCGGTGGACGTGGTGAAGACGCGTGTGATGAACATGAAGGTGGTGAAGGGGGCGGCGCCGCCGTACGCCGGGGCGCTGGACTGCGCTCTGAAGACGGTGAAGGCGGAGGGTCCGATGGCGCTGTACAAGGGCTTCGTGCCCACCGTGTCCCGCCAAGGCCCCTTCACCGTCGTCCTCTTCGTGACGCTCGAGCAGGTGCGCAAGATGCTCAAGGACTTCTAACGGACGGCTGACACGCCTCGCCTTCTACTACGAACGGCTATGATGACGACAACAATAAGAATACAGATTCTTCTTAATGTTTACAGACGACAGTTCGTCTGATGCTTTAAATTTTGTTTCAGTATTATGCTTCTTCTTTTCTTTATAGTTTTCAGTCCACAAATGCTATGTTGCCTCAACATTTTCGTATAATGTTAGCGTTTCTTATGCACCCCTAATAAATATATTATCTGAATTAAGCCTAAGTATATAGCCTCATCACATGAGAAGTTAATAATATTATGTGTCGACTTCCCCTTCTTGCAAATTAGAGTTAGGTTTTCATGTGAGATGTGGGGATTCAATCCTCTTCTTGTCCGGCCATGTTTCCTTTGTTGCTTGATGATGGATTGACATGTGTTTTTGATGATCAATATTATAATTTTGCTTGGAAGACAAACTCGATCGGTTAATAAGCAATCTATATCAAAGAAGTTTTTTGCTTGGAAGAAACAAAATTGAAAATTAAGGAACGACTATTCTACATGTGCTTTATGTGTTTTTAGTGATTTGAGGTGTGACTATGAAAGTTTCTAGAGAGTTTGAGAAAGAAAGAATCTTGAAATATTTGCGTAAGAGAATGCATAAGAGGGGTTTGATTTGAAGTTTGAACTAATTTTAGAAAGCTATTATAATTATATATATATTAATTATCTTCACGTAGTAAAGAAACTAATTATCTGTTCACAAATTATAATCTTTATTTTTTGTGTGATCAGTTCATCACGTTTGCTAATATGAATAGTATTGTCATACAGAACCCAATCCATCCCTGCAAAAGAAACCATACTAAATGGAGAGGAAAAGAAAAATTAGGACAGAGAAATCTATTGTAAAAGGAAAGAAGAAAGATGAAGAAATGGTAGAAAATAAAGTAAGAGGAAGGATGTTGGCCTCCATGTGTATACATCTTATATATCTTTTGGTCACTGGACAAAGATTTGGAAACATTAGAGATGGAGATGGAGATAGATTCTGACAATGGGATCATTGGCATGTGTCAATTTAGGATTAAAACCGAACCTAGACGGCATCAAAACCTTCTCTCAATCTTTTGAGAGTCTTATCAGCAAGATAAAGTCTTTGACAGAAATAAATTAGCTTAATTTTACTCAACAGGATATGCATGTTTATATATAATAGAAACTGAAACAACAATACAAACAGCTACCGAAGAAATGAAACAAACAGCAATTGTTGAATTAAACTAGTTACTGACCAAAACCCAACACACTTCAATCTTTCTTTCTGATACTTTCCATAATTGAATCCTTCTGGGCAGCCGCTCCCCTTGCTGATTCCAGTTGCAGTGACTCTTCACAAGAGGGGTTTACTTCCCCTTGCTGATTCCAGTTACATACTAATTGCAGAATACATACAGTGAAGAATAAACTTAAGCATATAACTCATCCACGTTACATTCTCCAAGGAAAACTTTGATGCTTCGAGGTGAACCACAGCTGCCTTCGGCAATCAGTGCTCTGTTATTTGCAGCCAAATGCGCCACGATCTTGTATATCATTTCTATCTGTTCAGGAGTATGAAAAATACCTTGTGAGCTAGTAAGGCAAACCCTAGTATGAATGCCAGTTTGGTTCAACTTCTTATGTAGTTGATATTTGGAGACTTTAATCGAGTCCAAGTAAGGATGCCCAAAGAACAAAACTAAAATTTGATTCAGATCAAGGTGCCTGACTAATTATTATAAGGTAGAAGTTTGATCCTACAAGTTTCTTTGCCATATGGTTAATTGAAATTGCATCCTTCAAGAGAGATACTACATTTCGTCTTCATATATTTTAGGTACAATATATGTATGTTTCACCTTCAAACGTATGCATGAAAAGCTTCTACCTATATCCATAGAGTTTAACCGTAACTAGTAGAATATTAAATGATTTAAGTTTATAATTAGTATTTCTGCAGGGTTAGTGAGGTTATCACAACATTTAGCATGCAAATGTATAAATGTGCTTATCAATTGTATTGCATTGTCAAACTTTTGAAATGAGATTGATAATCCAGTTATGAAAATATTACCTGCTCTGGGACGTGACATCTTTCTGCAATTTCCTCGAGTGATAGTGGCTCAATTGGTTCTTTACAGCTGAAAGAAAAACCAAATAATATAATAGTAAAGCACAAATACAAAGTAATGTAGCGACACGGGACAGATAAAGTAAAGCAGAGAACATAATGACATTGCGGAATCTCGAAAAATTTGTTCTAGGGGAACTGAAGAAAAGGATTGTCACTTCATATACCAATGCCATACTAGTGTGTGATGGTACATGCCATCTGGTATAAGCTAACCACATTGCTAAATTGCATGCCAGCACAATAGGTCCATACCAAATCCAAGCATACCAACACAATAGCTGCTCGGTACACCTTGGAATGGTCAGTATGCCAGTATGATTAAGAACATAGACAAGTTTACTAGCCAATAGGCTATGGCTGTATGACCATAAACAACAAAGAATAGAACAAGTAATTCCTCCTGAATGTATAATATGCGACTTAACAAAATCTGTATGATCATTATGATCCAAACCCACATCCCTTTTTTCAATGTGGGCACATCTGTCAACATCAGACCAGGACAATCATATTCCAGGGAAGTATTGAAGTCTCCATTTAAGAAATTACAAACTACTAGATATAACATGGAAGATATAAGCTTCAAGCTTCAAGAAAGTAGTATTACCTCAGAAGAACACACAAAAAGGTTAAAAATATTGATACTAATTGTTACTGTGTTCCATCAATAAAGAATTATTACCTCAGAAGAGCACTGATTGTTAGGTTTCTCATTTTCTCCTATGCTTAAAAAGGTTTTAGTTGATCTTCAAAACATGCAGATTTTACTGAAGTCTCATGTGAATTTTTTAACAAAAGATAAAAGTACCTGGCCTCATTTAGAACAGCCAAAATCCGCTTCTGGAGTGCTAATACTTCTCCTGCTGCTTTTTTCCCAGCTTCCACACCTGCAACCAGGAACAAATGTTATAAATACTTGTGGCTTTTGTGAAGTGAACTTTTTCATTTTAACAAACATGAAGAAAATATAGCATAATACCAGGTTGATGATATGCATTGATATTGATCAGGCATGCATAAATACCAACAGCTCGTTCATAGAGTGCAATTAGTGCTCCTACACTTCTAGGAGTTACTTGTTGTACAGTCACTGTAATTGATTCACGATCATTTGCATAGAGGGCTGAACGAGTTCCCTGAACAAACATGAAATGATCCTCAATACACAAGAAAGATTGACAAATAGATGATAAAAGTATATAAATGATCCCGAGCCATGAACTGAAAAAGCTTTAAAACTTATGGGGAAGGAATGAACCATTCATCAAACTGAAATTATCGGGAGTAATTCATGTATGTATTCTGTCAGAGAAATGAATCTCATCTTGTCTACAACTATTGTAGACATGGCACCCAAAGGACCCAGAAAAAGAGGTTACAACAGAATGTGTGAGGCAATGATCACATAGACATCAAAAGAAAAAAAGAAAACTTTCCCATAACTGTGGAACTTGTTTTTCCATACACCAAAGGATGAGATATGTGCATTATAAGTGATGAGAAAGATAAACAGAAGCACAAGTTTGGACAAGAGGTAGAGGCTCACATAGCTCTGTGCCAATCAGACAAGTGCATAGTACATTCAATTCACCATACGGAAATAAAAATTATGCCATAATTTCTCACATTTAAATTCCAGATACCATAGGGCAAAGCAGATGAAAAATGGTGGCAAAAACAAGTAAATGGAGACAATTTTCATCTTATTCAGTTACAGTTATAAAACATGCCAAAGACATACGAGCATAAACTAGGCTAACATGCAGTAACATATTTCAAACATCAATAACATTTTAAGAAGACATAACAGCAAAAAAATTGAGTAAAAAGACAATAAAATATTTAAAAATAAACCCACTATAGCCAACTGATAACTACCTGCAACATTCCAAACAAATAGTCACCACATGTAACTCCTGGTTCTAGCTCCCAGTCATGACCTGAGGGCCTGTCATGCAATACCTCAATAAAAGTGACAAAGAAATTGTGAACCCCTTCTCTCAGCTGTTGTATGTAGCTGCTCACAGTAAGATGACTGTATCAGACATCAGATTTCTAAATATCTAAATGAATGAAAGACAAAGTGAAGTAAAAAACTGACGCATGTTGATCAGTGCTGCCTTTGTTTCCATACACAGTAAGTCCTTGATTAACCTATTATGAAAGGAAATTTATTAGAAGCGCACAACCCAACAAAATATATAGTATGAATGGAAGCATGCCACTAATGATCATCTTGGTGTTGATTCATGTTGTTTAAAAAAGATAAAATGTAATCCAAGAAAGAAAAACCATATACAGATAGATTGTGAAATTTAAAAGAAAAAAATGGGTGAAAGATATACTGCATGGTGTACAATAAATAAACTAGGTAACAAGCTATTAATAGTAAAGACATGCTAGTCAGATTCAGTGTACCATGATGCAGAAAACAATGTCACTGGAGTTGATGACATATGATCATAACCTATATACAGACCACTTGGTCATATAATGGTGCAATAGATGTAATGGAAACAGTCTCTGAAGAATACATCTCAATATAGCCTTTGTGAATTGATATAACAAAGTAGACATTGTAGTCTAACCCAGTCATATGTCAACTTTGCAGGACATGGATACATATTACAAAATGCAAGTCTGCTACCCAACTAAACTAGACTAGCACATCTTTTGTTGACAACAAACAGTCGTAGGAAGTAAGATCTTTATGGTATCACTTTGATGTAATTATCCTTGACGTCGTTTATACAAATCCTTTTACAACACCTGACTCAAATCATTTGTTTAGCTCATTGGCTTTGTGGTTCAAACTGAAAAGTTCCTAGGCAATGAGTGCAGAGTCATGCAAGTGTGAGGTGCATGTACATTCGTGACTTATTTTTATTTCCTTCAGACATTAATGTGTGCCTTTTGTCAGAATACAACAATGAATTCCCAGTGACAGTTGATGCTTTGTCATGTTCTACATATCTTAAGCCATATTTAAATAAGAGTAGAAGTATTCCGTATATTCAGATGATGCTTTGGAACTACAGAATTCATGAAGATGCAATGCTACAAACCCGATTTCCATCAAGGTCGAATTCTTTCCCAAGTGACTCCATGACCAACTGTTGCAAATATCTACTAAATAGCAATAAGCTGTCCTTGTATGGAAGTACAACCATATCCTGTGAACAGCATATAATAGAACTGGTTAGATAAATACAAAGTTGAATATGAGAAATGTGGTTGAAGAACAACTTCCGAACCTTGGATCCAATTCCACCAGAAGCCCAGGACCAACATAAAGCAAGCAAAGCTGCTGGATTATCCTTGACCTACATAACATGATTTGAGATTTACATAATTAGAAAAGAGCATAGAATGCATACTTACTATAATTAATGAAGTAATATGTGACAGGTAAACTACTAGCAAAAGTAGGCAGTAGATCCATACCACTGTTGTCCGATTAGCCTCGTCCATCAATGATGCACCAACAAGCATTTCTTTAATGTCAATTCCCTAGATTGTGACACAATAATGAATCTAAGTTCATGAAACAAAATTCCTGAAAAACCTGAAGCAGAAAAAAAGAAATAAATGCCTGAAGTGCTGCAGGGAGCAAACCAACGGCAGACATTTCTGATGTTCTACCACCAACCCAGTCAAACATAGGAAATCTTGCCAACCACCCTTCAATTCTAGCTGTATTGTCTAATAAGGAGTTTTCCTGAGTAATCGCAACACCCTGAAAATGCATACTGTTTTAAGTAAAATGCTACAGAATGCAAAATGACAATTTAACTATATGATCCTTCATACACAACCAGAACTGATTTAATTATTGCAAGGTTGCAGTGGTTTGAACAATAAGATACCAGTGTGGTAGTTCTTTCTACAAATAGTAAAGTAAACAATTAGCTTTTAAATTCTCCTAATTAAACAAAAACCATCTGTCACTCTTTCTAGGGCGTGCTTTACCAAGAGGCCAATGAAAGTGAATACATCTCATCCAATGAGAATGCATCTACTGGTTCAAATATTGTATAAGCCAGCACAACACCAATACTGGTCTTCACATTTCCAATAAAAGACAATTTGTTAATCACAATTAGCTCTTGTACAGTGAAATTTGTTCATTGCAATTAGCTCTCGTACTGTGAAATTTGTTTGAAAAGAGAGACAAGTCTCGTGTCATGAGATTAATAGTTCAACAATTACGCAGAAAAAACATATGGACCATAAATCTCTGAGGATTTTTAAAAACAAAGAAAATGCATAATCCATAATAACCAACAAGAAAGAGAAGGAAACTTGAAGAAAAAAAACAAAAATTGAAGTTATTACCTGTTTTGAGAAGTCTAGCCCAGCTTCTCGAAAGGCTTTCTGTATTTCCAATAGACCATTTCGTGTTTCAGGGGTACCTCCACTCTAATAAGCATAAAGATAAATCATGAATATTTTCACATGACCTATGCTATAAAACATGTCAAAAAAAGGTGGCCAAAATTATCAAGATTGTGTTACTACTCCCACTGACCTTTGATATTACAATCACGAGTGTTGATGCAAGCTCAGGACCAAGCTGTGCAATTTGATGATCAATTCCAGCTGGATCTGTATTATCAATAAATCTTATCTGGCACATGATCAAAGCTCAGAGAAACAGTAAGATGTGAAATTACTTATATATCATTGAATTATTTAGAACTGACAAAAGCAAGCCAAAGAATAAGATTTGGAGCAGAACTTTAGAGGACTTCATTGGGAATAAGAAGAAATTATAAATTTATTAAAATTTTGCTTTCTATATAAGTTATTTTAGTATGATGCAAAAAATAAGTTATTGCTAGCATAAAAATATGAAATTCTTCCATATTGTGAACAGAAGGCTGATATCAATAGGAACAAATATGCAATAGACTGTAGCACATATGAAAGATTTTATTAATCAAACTCAGACTGTTGAGAGCCAAGGATGATAGATGATGCTTGTAAAAGAATTACAAAATCTTTATAAGACATTTACTTTTTCTAAGACAATTAACTTAGAAAAAGAGACCAACTTAACCCAATCAGAAAAAGCAGCAGGTTGTAACTCATTAAAAAATTCACAGGAAAAGATCATATACACTAGGTCAGTCATGGCTATTTCCAGTCCATGTACATAAACCTATACACATTTATTTTGCATTACAGAATCAAAAAACCACATTAATCCAATATTAAAAAATAGCAACACAAATTAGAGCTTAATTCGGAAAGGGTATGTTTTCTGCTTAGATTTGTGTAAATCATGGTCTCACCAATGAGTTTCTTGCTCATAGAAACTTGCAGTCTTCCTCCTTTTATCTTATTTTCTTTTGTAACTCTCAGTTTTTAGTTGGATACTGTGGTCATCCTTGCTTTTAGTTTTGTAATTATACCTTTCAACATTTTAATGCACAACAAGACCAAATTTATATTTTGCAACACTAGGTAGGTTGTCTCCATGGTAATCTAAATTATGGAACTCAAGCAAAAGCATCTGAAGTTAAACAAACAGAGAATTTGAAGAAGTAAAGAGAAATAAGATTTTTATATAAAGTACATCGGAACCAATCTAAAGAGATTGTTACAGATGATTTTAGTGATAAATGGCACAGAACAAACACAACAAATTAAGCTATTAATTCAATAAAAAATATAGATTATGTTAACATAATTCAAAATGATAATTTCATAAGATACTGACAAATTTTGGTCAAAAAAAAGAGACCCACCTTTAAAGGAGGATTATCAGGAGCCAATGCCTCAGAAACAAATTGAGGTCCCAATGCTGAACCTCCAATTCCAACAGAGAGCACTTGGGTAAAGCGACCAGCAGAAGATGATGGAGGTTTAATCTGCTTATTTTCATAATGTCAAATTAAAAGATAAATACTTCAACCAAAAGGGACATTATGAAAAGCTTTATGAAGCAAATCAAGTTTGTAATATGATCAATGGCATTACTACGTTTGTGTAACTGAATTGAGTCATTGTGCACAATCATTTAGTCACTTCATGGTAGTCAAATGATATATTCTGAGTCCAGATACATGGATATGACATTCGTAATGTATTAATGTTCGGTACAAACGATTGGTCCATAAATGGGAAAAGAAGAAAAGAGGAAAAAGAACATAAACCAACATCTTTGCTAAAAACATAATAAGAAAATGTATGTTGAATTAGTTGCCTTTTGTCATAAAAGCATCGCAGCATGTATGCCGTTGCAAGGCGACAAAGAAGCAATTTCAGATCTACACTTCTGAAAAGTCAATGTTATGAATTTGGCTCATACTCATTTTGAAGATGACAATTACATCTTCAAACATAGGCGCTTTAGTGTAAACCAAGGATGAACTTAATGAACATTTAGTAGTTGCGAAACCGATGCGCCAATGCAATCGCGCACAGAGGACACTAATCTAAAGAAAAGAAGTCAGTAAACCACAGATTTAAGCAGAAGCGGAATAAAAACGTGACCTTAGCGCTGATAACGTCATCCGCAAACTTGCAGATGGCATCGAGCGTGTTCTCGATCTGCAGTCTCAAGAACGAGTTGGGCGCAAGCTTCGGGTTCCTCAGCCAGTAATGACCCACCATACGGCCCTCGTCGGGGTTTGCGATGGCTCCCTTCTCGAGATCCTGCATCGCTCGGAACGCCTTCTGCAGCTTGGGTTCCATCTGGTCGAAGAACTCCTCGGTGAACCCGATCCGGCTGACATCGAGGAAGAGACCGAGCTCCTTGTTCTGGTAGAGCCAGTCAACATATCGGTGCCATAGCTTGATCGGGTCCTTCTCGACGGCTCCGTTCTTGATCTTCTCCGCCGGTACAGCGGAGGAGGAAGCCGCGGAGGAGGAGGAGCGGGGAAGGCCGACGATGGATCGTGGCGGGCGGAGGTGGCGGATGCAGCTGGGGGGCAGGATGGGGAGGGAGCGGCGGAGGCGGAGGCGGTGGGCGGGGGAGGGGTAGCAGATGCCGGAAATGGAAGCCATGGGGTAGCTCTCAACGCATTTGGTAGCGGAGAGAGATCGGATTCGAGTCTGCGTCCGGTGATCGAGATTTGGGGTGAGGAATTTAAACGGAGGAAGGGCTGGTGGAAGTTGGCACGTGCCGGAGACGGCGAGGAGGGCTTTGCACGTGCCGAGGTGGCGTCGTGGAGTTCGTCTCTTACGCCGGTGATATTTGAAGAGGAGAGGAGAGATCACCGAGCCGCGAAGTGGACGGACCGACGAGATGTTCGGCCCTGATCGGAGTTGAAGAGATCCGCTGTCCTACGATGGCTGCGATGTGGACGGACGTCACCGACCGCCGATCAGTGCTTTCGCGGCAGATTTTGATTGGTCCCCTTTCAACATTGAATCTTTGGATTGGCTTCTTTTATTTTATTAGCATCTCAATTGAATATTATCTTTTTTTTATTTGTTCATAACGACTTACTTTTACAAGTATTAGCAAATAAATATACCATTCGCTCAAAATGGTTAGTAAAATAAGAAAAATGAAAACAGATGTATAGTAAATTGTGATTGGAGGAAACTGTGGGACCCATATACCACTTACGTGTGCGGTCATCGCCGACTCCCATCACGTGGCACGGGTTCGGTACGTGACAATATAAGCGCCAACAGTTATACGAATATATATGTACAACGCAAACGTATGCAAAGTACACATGATTTGTGACATCAGTCCACGTCGATGATGCCTACATATCACATCATACTAATAATTTTATTTTTTTATGCCATTAGATGTAAAAAAAGAAAAAAGAAAAGCTCATTTTACGTATATTTACAGAAGTTATTGACATGACATGATATGTCAATAAGAGCGAAAAAATGAAAAGTAATTACTGTATACTTGTATTATTTAAATCTTATGTAGGTGGTACATAGGACATACATGATGTATGATCCCATTCCCGCTCTCACCATAATTACAGTAGAATAGAGCATTTCATCCCGAAATGAGATCGGCTGTGTTGATAGTTTTATCATTCTGTAAAAAGATACGGCTCCGTATCAGTCGTGACTTCGGGGACTATCGCTAACAGCCAATAGAACGGCTGTTTCTTGTGTTTGGTCGTTCCGTCAAGACACATTCTCTCATCCGCTCCCGCGTCGTGTCAATTCTCGTGTGGGCCCACTAGTTGTGAGAGAGAGAGGGAAGCGTGTTTCCTGTCTTAGCCGAGTCAGGAAGTTTGACGCCTTGTTTGTTATGAGGCGTGGCCACCAGGTCACCGATTAAACAAATGTCTGCGACTTGGTTCTCCTCGCCGACTCGGCCTTTATACTCACTCTCGGCCTCTCGGAAGCGGAGGAATCTGTGACGCCACGACACTGTGAAGAATGTGGTGGGAAGAAGAATTTCGAGATGTAGAAGCGGAGGAAGAGGAGCAGCGAGAATCCCCCTTCGATTTCGAGTTCTTGTCCCTGCTATCAAAGCCAAAGGTGACCATAGATCTCCCTCCTTTGTTGCTGTATCTGGGGATTCAAGCAATCGTGTCTACTGTCTGATGATTCTTTGGTTGATGGACACTTGGATCATTCTTGTGCTAGATACTGGTGTTCATAAGTTACTTTCTGGGAAAGTTTGGATTTTTTGTCGATTTGCCTGCTTCAATGGGGAAGAAATTTTATGATTTTGTCCATGAATCATACAACTGATGCGGTGCCTGCTCTAATGCTAAAGTGAGCGATTACTACAACCCTAAGTGCAAGTGTAAAAAGAGAACAATGAGTAAACATGAAAAACATTGGGACTACAGAAGTTTCATGTAAAAGAGGCTTAAACACATGGGTAGGTGGCCATGCTCTCACACAACCAACTGTTCTAATGCCTTGAAAACATGCTGGCTATTCAACCAGACAAATAATTTGTCTGGATCCAGAGTACAAGCAAAGTTTTTCACTCTGGTCCCTAAAGTCCTTCGTACCTGCCCCTCCTTTTTGGTCTCAAACTAGATTGGTCAAATGGACAAGTCAAAATGTTTCCATTCGTTATGACATTTTATTCATTATTTATTAATCATGTGAATTTCTTGGACCAAAACATCCATAAATGTGATATATGGACCCTATGAAGCACTTCGGTTTGTTTATTGCTCAAAATATTAGAACTAACTGAGATCACGATATTAGGGCCTTATGACTAGTGTCGACAAATATTTGTAATTGCAACAAAAAAATATTTCCTTACTTTGATTTTTTAAATTATTATTATTATTTTCATTTATCCCTTTATTACTGACATCATCCTTTATTCCATGTAAACGATAATCTTTTAAGTGATTGATGATGTGTTCCATTTAAATAGGTGTATTGAACTGTAGGTCTTATGCTATAAGAAGTTCTCAGATGCATACTTTCCAAAGTTTGCCTTTTTTTTATTGAATTTATATAAAGACACTATCTTCTTGTACTGACATTTTTGGTGCTGCTTTCTAACCTAGGATTACTACAAGACACTGGAAGTTGATTTTGATGCTACTGAAGAAGTAATCCGTTCCAACTACATCCGTCTGGCTTTGGTTTGTAATTTCATATAAGTCTTTTGCCTTTATATATGTCCATTCAGCATTAACTTTAGCATCCTGTTATTTAAGCAGGGTCCTGACAAAGTCTCATTTGTTGTTTAAAAGAAAAAAAATGTAAGAACTGAAAGGAAAAAACCTTTTTTGGTAAAAGTGATTCGTTATATTGTTTTATGAAATCTCCAGTGCTTCTGAAATTTTCAGAAGAAAAAAGGGTTTAAAAATAAAAAATATAAATAAATAAATAAAGAACCTTTGAGGCATAATTCTATGTTCTCTGTTTGAGGGCTTATGTACTATCTCCCATCTCTTTTTCTTCTCCATGTTTCATCCAATATTCTTTCTCTGGCAACTTGTTTCTGTTCCCAGAATACAAGAAATAGAATAAAAGCAAAAAAATTGGTTTCTATTTTAGAACCATGAAGATCAGAAAGGACATGAATCATGCCTTTTAAGTATCGTAACCATTCTGTCCACCAAACTTGTTTCATGGTATGGAAAAATAGCTAGTGAAGTATCCAGTCAAGTTTCAATTTGTTGCATTCCTTTTCTAAAACTAGTTATTCTATGCCAGCCTATGGTGTCATGGAGCCTATCTGGTGCATCTCTATATTTTAAACTTTTATAACACAATTTAGTAATCATGAAAAGTAACAAATTCACATCCAATTATTCTAGTTACAGGAAAATTATCGAGTTATTTCACTGTGTTTTTCTTTTCCAGAAATGGCATCCTGATAAGAAAAAGGAGGAAAGTGCTACTTCAAGATTTCAAGAAATTAATGAGGCATACAAAGGTAAGTGTCCAACTAATTGAAGAATGCAAGATTTTCCAGGTTTAGGGCAAGTTTCGAGGTCCCTTCCTGGTTGCAGAGCTTAATCTGTAACCAATGAGGTAGATCTTCCCATACATGAGTTGGCCTTTTTAGTTTAACACTGTGCCTTGGTCAGGAATGGTTGTTCATAGTTTCCATAATTTATAAGTTGTATTGATCTCAAGTTTGTGCTTTCATGCTGATTGCATGTTCGAAAATTATACCTAATTATTTCTGTTTTAATCTTTGTTATGCTTGATTGCTGTTGCTAACTGATATGCATTCTTTTAACAGTTTTAAGTGATCCTGTCAAAAGGCGGCAATACAATGAGAAGGGAGTCTGTGTAATCCAAGACTACAATGCCATCGTAAGCATATCTATCCAATTTTTGTATGCTTGTTTTAGTTGTAGCTGATGCATGTGACTTAGCATTTTTTGTTACTTTAAGAAATTGACAAATATATAGATAAGAACATGCGAGGTTAAAATTGCACAAATTAGCTGCAGTATACTTTAATTGATAATATATTTAAAATTAAGTATAACATCTTGAATAGTCCCACATCGGAAATGGACAAGATTAATATTTCAACCTAAGTATTTTGGTCTGTGGTCTGGGTTTAACGAAGTTGACAGTATCAAAGTTAACCTAGTATTGAGACATGGTGAAGAGCACTCCCCCTTAAGTGGGAGAGATTGTAAGATCCCGATTAGTCCCAAAGTGAGCAAAACTAGGATTAACTTATAAGGATCTGATGGGTGTACAATATGATAAGTATATGATTTACATGATCTATATGAAAAAGTTGAACACTGATAAGAATTGCAGGACTAGAAAGCATATGTAATTTTTATTGTACAATCCCTAATTTTTATGCTGGGGTATTCCGGAATTTCAGAGTTCTCATTTTTATGTTGTCTTTCCTTTTTGTCTGTTGTGACAAATAGCAATAACTATTTTGGTGGATTCTTTAATTTCAGGAATACCTGAACCGATACAAGGGCTTGATATTAACATGCAATGGACTAGGTATTAGATATCCAATATGGTAAATCGACTTAAAGTGGTGCAACAATACGTTGAGACGGCAAAATCATCTCTAGAGATTTATCATGTAATACAAGCATGGTATCATGCTGAATCACGATACAATTATCAAATGGATTATGTAATACTGTAACAACATATATAAGTTGAAGAATATTTGAATGTGATGGGTAAAGCCTGAAGGCACAACGCCATTTTGTTTGTATAGTGATGAAATGCATACTTCAGTTTGAACAAGATGGCCTGTATGAGTGCACAAATGTGTTCCAAGGATGAGCCAAACAGTTTCAATAAGATGGTGGATTTGGTTCGGCTCATTTTGGGATCTTTGCAATGTGCTATCCCTTATCATCGTAAACTGGAAGTGGAGGAAGCAGCTTAGACTTTTGTTGCTAGTGTTGGTGATGACTCGCTTGGGGGAAATGTTGTCGCTAAAGTTGGATTTAAAAGTGTGGCTGCCCTTACGAGGATTAAGAAAGCGCAAACAAGAAAGAAGAGGAATCCGTCTTTAGGTGAAGTCGATTCGAGACGAAGCCCGAATGGAGAATAGATCTTTCTTATTTTCTCTTTAATTTTCTTATAGATTTCTTTAGTTGGAACTGAGGATTCATGAAGTATATGCGGAAACTATGATGATACACTTTGGTATATTGGATTTTGTCATGTCCACTTCATTTCTTTTTGTTAGAATTTGAATCACGAAAAATAGTTAGCTTCTTTTAAGATAATATTATAAACAATTGGTGCGACTATATTTCTTTTCATGAGTGATTTTAATCAGGTTAAAGACAATTTGTGGATTCATGCTCGTAGGTATCTATGCAGTCGATCTTACATACATTGATGCTGTTGTATGATTCTAGCGGGTATTTGAACATGCTATCATTCATACATACATTTTATGCTCAAGTAAATGTACCTCAACATGAAGCATGCATGCATTCATGATTGTCCATTGCTTGTTTTTAGCAACAACGCAATACTTTCAATTATATAATGCCAAATTATCAAAAGACAATGATGGAAATAAAGGCCAAATAAGGTAATTAAATGACAATGATGGAACCATTTGAATTTAAGTTTACATGAAGAAATGGCATCCATCGGGATTCTACTAATTGCTATAATAAATGAATACCTCGAACTCTATGCTTCATCTTCCATTATCATCCCCGACATCACAAGTTCTTCCGCAGATTGGATGGTGTTCTTCTAATTACATCGATTTAAATGTAATAATAAATGATTACCTCAAACCACCCTTTCTTGCTCTATTGCCATCCACGAGAAGCTCTTCTACATGGTCTATAAATTGGTGTCTCGTGATGAACTATTGTTGCATACACTTTATGTTTTTCTATTCATATCGAAAGTTTAGTGGATAAGATCGAGTGTTGGTGAGAAAAAAATACAATAAATTGGAACCTTCATAATTCCTATAAATTGGATGGGGCTCTAAACATTTGACTGTACTTCATATAAAAAATATAAATTGAACCTTCATAAGATGAGCGGTCTCTAAATTGGAACCTTCTTAGCTCATGATATGTTGCTTCACAATGTGACTACGGAGAAGAAATGGTAGTGGTTGAAAGATGAGTCAGTGGTAAATGCATGGCTCCTTTTTTATCCTCATCCTTTGTCTTTGAATCTTTGCAGTGTCACTGGTTGGATTCATGTCATCTAATGGAACAGGACTGAACTCAGTTTTGAATCTATGTTGCTCGTGAAATAATTATTGAGATCCGGATCAAACAAGCTACGGAACACGACGCATGATTCAATCTGGGAGATGCAGAAGAGAGGTCATTGTTCAAACTCTAGTAGCTAAAATCTCTTTTACTTTTATCTTGGTGGCATCAACATCTGGAAGAAGAGAAGATAAGAAAAGTGCTTCATGCTAGTGAAGGAGGAGGAGGAGGATACAGTTCTGTTGTCTAGTTTCAAGTGACAAAATCTGATTGCAGATTAAAGCCCTTCATTTGTTTTCTTAACATGAAAAACATAATTTGTTCTTCTTTATCCTTGTTATATTTTTTGGTTGAAAGCTAGTGAACTGTTCTAATGACATCCTCTTCATACAGCCAATCAAACTATGTAGTCTCTGTTGATAAAACATGCTAAAAGAAGATTAAGAAAAAGCTTGTGTCAGTCAATTATTGTGATGTTGTACACTACTGTCAGGTTCTCGTAAGCCAACGAATGGAAAAACCAGCACAAGATTGGCCAAAATGCTCCAGAATTCAATTCACCATTAGCTTCAGACACTGCACATAATGTTTCTCAAACAACCATAAATAAATAGTTCATGCTTCCTGGAACTTGGGACCATTGCTTGTCAATGGCGATCCAAGAGTCTGCAATGAAGGCGATGAGAAATCGATTGGGAGCCACTGAGATGGGAGTTGCATTGGAAGCAGAATGGACCACAAGTTAAAGCTTGATAATAGAGAGATGGACCACAAACCAAAGCTTTCGTTCATGTTAATCTCATTATTTAGTTTGATGGACCACATGTATCTTTGCACTATAAATCAGATAAAGCAACACAATCTGAAAATTATTATGGAGAAAGATACAAAAGTTTGTAAGCATCTATATAGCAGCATGTTGATAGACTCTGCATTTATTCTGTCAACTTCTGCAGCTGATTCATGATTTAGCAGCATGATAGATATCATAGTAAAAATCTTCCAAATATTCGAAAATTGCTGTGTCATTCACGAGTTTTTACTTGTGACATTTGATGTCACATGAACTGTACAATTTGTTGATGTCTGTTTAGGTGTCAGCTCGTAGTCTGAAGAACAAAGGTGGAAGAAGCTTTCAGCAGTATAAACTCGATATCTCCCCTCATGTATGACAGTTCGACCACAGAGAGGGAACCCGAAAATGGAACGAAGACAACCTTCCCGTAGACAAGAGGTGGACAGTACTAGGACAGGTGTGCTTGTTTTCACGTAGATTGGGTTTTCTTCTACAGTACCAAATCTCCACAGGACTCTTCGGCGGCATTGCGAGGACATGGAAAGAAGTGCGTCAAATTCCTTCGGCCGCTGCGTTCGGTGTAGCTTGCAGCTGTTCTTCTTCCTTTCCATGCGTTGATGATTCTGGAGCTGTCGCCCCACTGCGCATGTCGACAGGTTGGACGCGCCTGCTCTTGTAGGATCGAGACAACAGAGCTATGCTGGTGTAGTCCTTGCTACAGGAGTTCGTATCACAACAGCGAAGAGTTTTTATTGGGGGTGTGGCCACCCAAGGAGGGGAAGATCTTCGAGGTGTTACAGATTTCACCGAGTAAAAAGCTGAGTGAGGATTGTGCGTCCAAAATGGCATGAGAGCGCGAAACACACCCAGCACTCGAGCAATTACCGGAGTAATTGGCTTTTCTTTTATCACCGAAGCATCTTCTTCCTGCTTCTGCACTCGCTATCTACTGCAGCAACAAATTCTTATGACCTTTTCTATATATATTATTCGAATAAGAGAGCTTCCTTCTCACCCAATAGCCTAAAGCCACTTTCTCCTCCTTACAACCTCTTCTCCCTCTCCAGTGTCGATCACTAACCATGAGCTAATTCTCTATCTGAAAAGGAGCCACATTTGAACGAGGACCTTCTTCCCAGAAGAAAGCTTGCTTCTTTACTGCCACCTTTATCTCATGTATTGATGTCTCAAGAAGCAATGGCTCCAAATGATGACTGCGCGTCCTCTACCCTCCTCTGCGTGGAGGACAGCAGTTGCATTCTTGGCTTTGATAATGAGGACGATGCTGATGATCAGGAAGAGCATGATCTCAATCGGTTCTATGTACGAAAAAGATGCGAACTTTATGGGGATCTCCGCATGGGTTTACCGTCACAAGCGGATGAGTGCTTGGTCTCTTTGGTCAGGCGAGAGACCGAGCACATGCCGAGGGACGACTATGCCGAGAGGTTGCGGTCTGGAGCATTGGACTTGTCCATTAGGAGAGACGCCATTGGTTGGATTTTGAAGGTGGCTTCTTGTTTCCTTATGGTCTTTTGAATCTTCCCTTCTTTTTAGAGTCTCTTATGCTGACGCCATTGATTTTGAAGGTGACTTGTTCTTGCAATTGGACTATCTCCTCTTCTTCATTGTGATTGATCGCATTTGTGATGCATTGGACAGGTTCATGCCCACTATAAGTTTGGACCATTGAGTGCATATCTATCTGTAAATTACTTTGATCGATTCTTCTCCAACTATGAGCTTCCTGTAAGAACATTCACGTTACCTGTAATCCAATCTTCCTCGGATGTATTGTAAGGTCATCCTCTGTTGTTAGATGAAATCATCTAATGTGTTTGCTTCCATCTGCTCTGTCTTTGATTATAGAAAGGCAAGGCTTGGATGACACAACTACTATCTGTGGCCTGCTTATCATTGGCTGCTAAAATGGAGGAAACTGAAGTCCCTTTGTCAATGGATTTGCAGGTGAAGAACACTTGCAGTAAAAGAATCCTCCTATATATTTCCTCAAATCTATCATGAACTTCCCTGTATTTTCTTCAACAGGAGAGGGAGACAAAGTATGACTTCGAGGCAAAGACTATCCAGAGAATGGAGCTTCTGGTTCTGAGCACCCTTAAATGGAGGATGCAAGCTGTAACTCCTTTCTCTTACGTTGAGTTCTTCCTTCACAGATTCAGTGGTGGCAACGCGCCGACTAAAGTTGAGATCTTTCGATCAGTAGAACTCATTTTGAGCACAATTACAGGTAAAATTCTTAATCCAAGTATCCATCTGTTCTGACAGAAGGTCGGATCAAAGTTGTTTGGCTAAGCTGAATCTTTCTGATACAGGCACAGAGTTCTTAGCATTCAGACCATCCGAAATCGCTGCAGCCATTACACTGAAGGTTCTGGGAGAAACACAAGACGTGTGTATCGAGAAAGCAGTGTCATGTTGTATCCAAGTAGCAAAGGTATAATATGCATGCTTCTAATGTTGCTTTCATGCAGATGATGGCTATTTTGATTTGGCCAACTATCTGGTTTGCCGCAGGAGAAGGTGTTGAGATGTTACGAGGTGATCAAGGACATGGAATCGATGAGAGATAGGCCACCCAGAAATGCTCGCATATCACTTTCCTCGGTGCCACAAAGCCCAATTGGTGTGCTGGATGCTGCATGCTTGAGCTATAAGAGTGATGATTTTAGACATGCAACATGTAATCATAGTTCTTCTGCTAGTAAGAGGAGGAAAATATAAAGGAAGCTTGTTCGTCCCTTCCTCATCTGCTTGTGAGATATTGGTGCTTGCAAACTAGTATTTGTCTCTAATGTGGGAGCTTTAAGGTGGCCATGAGTATGGACAAAAACCACGTAGATCACATATTACAGGCGGCGGGACCCGCCCCAGATGGAAATCCCGCCGTCCAAAATTCGTAACGCGGATCTCAAACTAGACTGCGCCCGATGCGACGTCCATCAAGCTTTGAGGTGCGTGCAACAGTTCGATTGGTGTTTGGATCCTTCGTTGCAATCGTCCTCTTACCGTGCCGATGCTTCAGTGACATTGGCGTGCATTGCATTAGTACGACGCACAAGGACAGGATTTTGACGTGGTACGTGATCCCCGTTGACCGAGACCACAAGCGACATGGAACCCATCCATCACGCGGTCGATTCAGGTAGGGGTTTCTTCCTGGGAAAGATCAGCTTCCCGGTCTTACGTTCACTCCATTGTAGTGGCTTGTACGTTAGCGAAACAGCAACCCTTCTCATACGAAAGACCCAGCTTCATTCCTTCCGTCATCGAGTCCATAGTTCCCAAGCTTCTCGCTCTTCACCCTTTCTATCATTCCTTTCCACACGCTTGCCGCAACACTATAAGAAGCTCAAGAAGACTGTTCTATCTCCCCGTATTACTCCCGCGCCTTGTTATTGTTGTGTTTGCCTTCTCATTCCAAGCAACAACAAGAGAAGGGAGAAGAGATCACAGCAAGGTACGATGAAAGGAAAAGAAGGTCCATCTTCTTCGCCACTTACGGCAGTTGCCTGCTGCATGTGCGGCGATCCCGGGATATCTGATGAGCTTTTTCGGTGCAAAATCTGCCATTTTAGACTTCAACACAAGTAAGAACCAACGCGTCATCTTTTGATCATTGATATCGGCCATATCTTTCTAAGACCGATAATCTTCGTATGATATGCACATTCATCCCGTACGTTGTCCTCCTTTCAGATACTGCAGCAATCTCTACCCAAAAATCAAGCATTACAGCTCTTGCAATTGGTGCTTAAGAGAGGGAGGAGGGAACTCTGCTGTTCAAGAATCCACCATGGATCAAAGCCATTCTCTCTCGTCCTCCTCTGATCTTGCAGCTGGTGCAGGTTTCGGAGTTAAGTTCCATCGAGATGTCTCTGCAACACATCTCAAGACTCTCAACAAGACTGTCAAGAAACGCCGAACGACTGCGAGGCTGTCACCGCCGGCTGTGATTGAGAAATCGCAATCAGACTTGCCCTCGTTGAGTTCCAGCAGACCGAAGCAAGCCTTTAGAAGTAAGATTAGGAAGTTTAAGCTTTTGGAAGAGGTATGCAGCTAAACATATACAGCTACTCATGTACATGTGCACTACCTGGAAGCTCCATACCATCCTGGTTTTCTTCCGGTTGAGAGACATAGAAAGAGGATTGTAAAACACAAGTTCTGCGAGTCAATGATGACCTATACATAAATATTATGGCAATGGTAACACTACTGTTGTAATGAGGCGTTGCTGAGGAAGAACTACCCTCTTTACTGAACTCTAATATTTAGGGAGTCTAATTTAGATTGGAAACATTTATGTCTGTCGAGGTCGTCGAGGATTGACCACTCCAGGTGTGGAATGGGCCCAACATTTGAAATGGCCAATGTGGAAACAATCATGTTACAATGGGCTTCATGGAGCGACATACATTGGAAACCCAATTCCAGAGATGGTCCGGCCATTTGAGGACGGCCTGCTGTCGAAGGTTTATTGTTTACCCTCCTCAACTACCTACCTCGCGGTTCGATGTATGGAAGGTGTGGGTCCCGCTAGAAACCCCAGTGATAGGCGTCGGAAACAAGGCTCGTGGGTGGGACGCCCGAACGGAACGGTCGTTGTGCTTCACCATCGTGGAGCGCCCGGCACCTCCAGGTGCGTGATTTAGACGGTGTTTCGCGGAATAACCAGCTCTTAAGCTGTACCCACCGCTTTCCCGATGCCTTGCCCCCGCTCGGTTTTTGTTCTTTGAACCGACAACCAGGAGATCTCATTGGATGTTCATCGTGTCAACAATACTCCGCGGAGCATTCGAACTCCGACACCATATAAAACTAACCCTCACTTCTCCTCTTCCGACTCGGAACGAAAGGCAGAGTTCTCCCGCTTTAACGGAGCGAGAGACGGGAAGGGCAGCAAGGGAATATTCCGTTGTGTTGTTGTCAGGTCGGCGATGGGGAGCCTCGCGGAAGCGGACGAGGGCACCAACCATCCCCGGAGGCGACCGAGGTTCCTATGCCTCCACGGCTTCCGCACCAGCGGGGCGATCATGCGGACGCAGGTGGTGGGGAAGTGGCCGGAAGAGGTCACCGCTCGTTTGGACCTTGTCTTCCCAGACGCGCCCTTCCCCGCCGAGGGCAAGTCCGACGTCGAAGGCATCTTCTCTCCTCCCTACTACGAGTGGTTCCAGTTCGATAAGGTTCTTGATCTCCCCTTTCCCAATCCCCAATCGACTTCCTTCTTTCCCATCATGTCCTCAAACTGCTTAAAAATTGTTGAGGAGGAATAATAGGATTTCATGGAGTACACTAACTTAGACGAATGCTTCGCGTACATCGAGGACCTCATGATCCAACACGGACCGTTCGATGGCCTGATGGGCTTCTCCCAAGTAAAATATTCCGTTCTAATCTGATATTCTTTTTAGCAAAAGCAAAATTAATTTTCTTGTCGAAATTTTTTAATCGAAGTGGGTATGTGATGCTTAGGGTGCGATTCTCTCGGCGGCACTTGTAGGTCTTCAATCTAAGGTAAGTTTTGCATAAGATCAATACTTTTTTCTCCTTCCCGTTCCACTCTTACCCGTCTCGTGATTGAAAGCAACAAGTGGCCCCTGTGGTCAGGCCACATATAATTAAGGGTTTCTTGTTTGCTAAAATATAGTAAAAGAAATTAAAAGTGTGGTGATTAAAAGAAACCAGAAATGTTCTCGTGATTAATATAGTCGATGGTTTTTTTTAGTTTTTTAATTTCAGCGATTTCTTTTCTAGGGTATCGCGTTGACGAGGGTGCCGAAGGTGAAGTATCTGATAATAATTGGAGGGGCGAAGTTCCAGTCACAGCCGGTGGCCGAGAGGGCTTACGCGGCTGCTATCGATTGCACATCGCTCCACTTCTTAGGTATAATGCCACCTTAAGCAACTCTCTCCGGGTATCTCTATTTTGAGTTCCTCGGTATGAACTAGCTGTAGATACATACAGACACAGACACAGACATAGATACACACACAAAAATTATTTTAATATCTAAAAAAAATTTCATAGTTCATATCTCAATTAAATAATCTTCGTGGTTCTAGAGATCTTCTTAAGAAATGGACAGAGAATCTTTGACGGCTAATTACATCACTTGTGACGTGGGTGAGTCGAAACAATTACAGAAAAAGGATTGGGGAGACCACACATTTATATCATTTACTAATCTATTTGGTTGACTGCCTTCCCTATGGATGACCCACCAGTCACTTCAAATAGACATTTCTTAGAACTCACAAAAATTGGAACGCACTTTTACATTCGTAAATCAAATTTTAGAATAGAAAAACAAAGTAGCTTTGTGGTTATACTGTGGAGACATGGGAAATGACAGTATATATACTCCACTATTGAGTGACAATATTGTGATTGGCCCATGAAATAAGTTCATTCCCCGATTGCCTCTTCTTTTGTCAATAACAACATATAAAATCCTGGTGGATATGTTTAAGGGTCATCCCTTGATCCTTTATGATGACTCCCCTTATTTGGATTTTCATGACTTGCTGTACTTTTATTTTCAATAATATAAATGGAAATATAAGGTTCCCCATCCACGATGGATCTAGGGAAAGACAATTTATAACTTGCAAACAAAGAAGCTACTCTCATGACTCAAAAACTCTCATGTCTTTTCCAACAGTCTCTGTTTACTACAATTAGTTTGGACCACAGGTATTATGTGTAGCTAAAAGTGGCCGGTTACATGGTTAATATGTTCTCTGATGGTAATGGACACGTAAAACTTCCCTACCTTTTTCTTTATAGCAACACGATCTGTAGTATCAATTTAGAAGATAAAAACAATAAATGAACAATAAAAACTTTTGTTCATTACCCAAATGCATCGTAATAGTACTCCCGTATTTTTTTTCGTGATAACCAAGAACTGAAGTGCTTAATAAATATATGAGCTCAGATATGAGCAAGCATTACTGGTTAAAGATACTTCTTTTTTCTGTGTAATTCACTCAGCTGACTTACACTCTCCTGAGAAGCAAATTGATTAGAGACCGTTTTGTTTAGATTTCTTTATTTATGAAAAGAGGAACATCTTCTTTGTTACTGTCAACTTATGATTTCATATGTTGCTAAAGCATTACAGCTTTATAAGTGGTATATAATTTTAAATGCGGAACTGTGTGAAGGCAATTAGCGTAATACTTCTTTTTTTTTGTTGCCATACTCATTTAAGGCCTATTTTCATCTACTTATTATATAGAAGATGGACATATGTGTTTGATCAACGCAAATAACCATTAGTCCCACTAATTGTATCATGCTACTTTTTCTTCTTTTCTTTATGACGAGAAAAACTAAACTACTACATCAGATATTTAACATGGTCTGGCCTCATTGGATGGAATGTATAGGCATAAGCATAGATATTTTAATGCTTGATATTCATAAGAAAATTTCATCTATGAATGTGATAATTTTTTGGTCGAAACCATTTTTCATGACAAATGACTAAAAAGTTTGGAGCTTGTATAAATTTGTCTTGTCAGGGTTCACACAACTGATGGGAGATCATTTGTACATGCACAGAGATCAGAAAATGTTATAATAGATATATTCCACCGAAACCTAGTATCATGCACAAGCATAATTGGTGTTTTCTGAGTCGCTGGTTTCTTGATTTCTTGGTGTGTATGAGCATTGCTTGAGAATATGCTTAAAGGAGAGTCTAAGTACTAGTAGCATGATTAAGTGTAGCTCTTTTCATTGGAGAAATGGCAAACTTATTTTGTGTTAATGTAATATCTCAGTTGCAATGTTCTTTCTTGAAAAATGAACTTCAATGACCAAAATGTACAGAGAATGCTGACCTGGAACCTCGTTTGTGGCTTTGCAGGTGACATGGACTTTTTGAAAAAGCATGGTGAAGCACTATTGGAGTCTTTTGTAAAGCCATATGTCATCCGGCATCCCAGGGGTCATACTGTCCCCAGGCTTGGTGAGTTTTTTTCTACTTCTCGTGCCTGCATTTTTCTGTTCTAAGCAAGTTGACATCAGTTTTACATTGTTTTATTTTGACTTGATGGCATTACTTAAATGCATCAACATGAGAAGCTTGAGTGTAGCCCAGTCTTATGATTCATAAACTGCATGTCTCTAGCATCCTGATATGCTCTTCTGGATCAGAAAACATCTAAATAGCTTCTAACTCAGGAATCAATTTGTTGATGTGTCTTTCCTTGATTAGATGAAATGAGATTGAAAATTTTGCGTGGAGCCGAAATGATAAATTTTCATGTTACAATCTTTTTATTTATAGGAATGCAGCTGATACTTTTAATCTAGTTTAATCAAAGTTAGGTCTTATATATGCTTCAAGAAAAAAGCTTATCGATTCTGATTTAAATTTTCTGAGCTTTCCATCAAACACAAATATATTATTGTATATTTGACAGGTTGGTTCTTTTGGTTTTTGCAGATGATAAAAGTCTGGAGACAATGCATGATTTTCTGCAGAAGATTGAAAATGATTTGCCCTCTGATGAAACATCAAATGACAAACATGAGGAAGTTTATATGAGTTAAAGACCCTCATATCCTGTTTTCTCCGCAATTCTTGGTATTCTGAACCAAGCATCTGTCTGGTTGTATTCAGAGAACAGGTGATATGCATCAACAAGTTTGAATTTTAGCGGAAACATCTTCTTCTCTCCTTACTAGGAGTTTCTCATTTACAACTCTGTATGTACGACGGTGACAAGCTGAAGTTTAATCAGCTGTGAAACACCTGTCTGAATAGGGTGATAGCAAAAGGTTCCTTTTTGCTGTGGACCGGATCATATTATGGTGAAGTCCAATAATCTGATACTTTCTACTCATTGTAGACATATACTGGGCCACTTGAAATGGCAAGTAACTTTTTTTAAGTCAAGTTATTTAAGTCAAGCGAATGTCCATAGATTGAACTCTCTTGGACTTAGATCTAACATGTCATGGTTCTCGATCTCAGACTCTTACCAAGACCGGCGTTCAGAAAGTTTGGTCGGTCAATCCTAAGTTTCTATCAAGATATTAATATTTTATGAATTGAATTGTTTGCCTGGTCAAAAATCTAAGAATGCACATGGTTCACTCCCCCTAGAATAAACAAATTTGCTATTAAGGGTCATATCTAAAAGATAATTCTTGAAATGATATATATGCAAGATATTTATGTGACGGCTGTATCAGCACAACTCCTCACATTTGTCACTAATCAAATCATTTACTTTCAAATAGATAAGCATATAGTTTAAAATGGCAACATTGGATATGCCCTTTGGTAGTATATTTGACCATTAGAGAATTTATTACTTTTATTGATATTAAAATCTTTTTAAAGTTATCACGATAATATAACTATGGTAAAAATAATTAGTATTTTTTATATTTTAACATTCTTTAAACTCAAACTAACAATTGTTAACCACAATTAGTAGTGGTTAGTTAATCTGAGTTTATCTTTTATTTTGAATGAATGTTAATAAGGCATTCATTATACATATGAAGGAGTTTAATATTTGGACAGAAGTATACGCTTTTGCCGGAATTAGTTGGTGCAAATATGAAACCAACCATCCCACTTAATTGTTCAACCGGAGCGATTAAACCAGCACGTTATCTGCCTCTTAGACCGTAACAAATCGAACCGCACGGTCCGTTTGTCTCATTCCATAAATTTCCGGCTCGCTTTTGCGTCCGCGTTTGCTTTCGTTCCTCCCGTAGAAGCATCCAGGGGCTTCTCTCCGATTCCCATGGCCAATCCCCTCTATGGCGCCGGCCCCAATCGATCGAGGTAGTCCAATGACGTAATTATTGTCTTTCTGATTCCCTTCGTGGCTTTTGCCCCCATAAGATCGTTTCTATTTGTCCTCGTCGTTGTTAATTTTGGATTTTTTTCAAGAAAATTTTGGTTCTTGGTGTTTTGATTCAGAGAAGGCCTTATTTCGAGGCCTGCGGCATCCTCGGACGAGATCCAGTTGCGTATCGACCCGATGCATGCGGATTTGGACGAGGAGATCGATGGGCTTCATCGGAAGATCCGGCAATTGAAAGGCGTAATTCTTTTGGCTTTCCTGGCTTTCTTTGAGTATATGTGTAATTAAATTGCTGTTTTATACTTGTGATTCATCTTTGTTTTAGAACTTCCGCAGAGAAAAAAAATATCGTGAAAATATAGGTTAGGGTTTCCTTGGTTAGGTTAAGCAAAGAAAAGACACAACACCTTGTATTTCTCGATATCCATGGTTTTGATAAGAGAGACAATTTGCTTTCGTGATTTAGCCCTTGAACAACTGAATACTGAGAGAATTTAGAATTAGCAGTACATTCATTATAATCTTGATGCATTAAACAAGATTTTATTTTTTTGTGGTAAGCTTATCTGGCATGCGCTGACTGGTCGTCTAATCATTTTTGGTGCAACTACAAATATGTTTCTTATTCGGGAGCTTTTTTTTTTTTACTACTGTTGTTTTGTTTTTCTTTATGAACATTCCCTCATATATTTTAGTAAAGCATTTGGTGAAGAGATGCCTCTATATGTCTTCAAGAGGCTCCCAGCGTCTTGTATGGTAGGTTGATGGTGATCTTGATGGCTTTGAAGACACCAACAGGTTGCATGTCAGAATAATCTGTTGTCTTTTTTATTGAATAACAAGAAAGCAAAAAAATAATCTGTTGTCAACTTAAAATGCATGAACAGCTTCAGGAGTTTGTCCTGTTGTAAAATAAGTTGCTAATAGTTTTTGTGTAATTTCTAGGGAAAAATGTTTCCTCATTCTAGGGCATGAAAGCTTCAAGTGATCAGATTTATTAGAGGAAATCATCATGTTGTTCCACTAGTTAGTTGTATTACTTACAATGAAATATGGGGGATTCCGTTTCTTGTTGTGTGACTGTGGTATCTCTTTCTATTCCATGCTACAGGTAGCTCAGGAGATAGAGACAGAAGCAAAGTTTCAGAATGACTTCATAACCCAATTGGTAATGTTTTCCATCATTTCACAGCTTTGATTCCTTTTGGTGGAAATGGTTATAAACTGAAGACCTGAACCTGTTGCTTATTTTTTAAGTTGCCTTTGTTTGTGATGGTTAATAGCTGAATGTTGTGCACTAGTTTACCTTATACAGCATTCTTCTGGACTTGTAGGTTTTCTTGGACTTATCAGAATTTTGTAACAAAGCAATATGACAAGGCATGTGACTTAGTGGCTAGCGGAAATAGTTAAAAGTTGATTGCCTTGTATTTATTTTAAAGTTACTTGACTGAGCTAGTTTACCTGTACGAATTGTTAATGTTTTTGAGATGCGCCTTTACATGTTGGTACATATTGAAAAATCTAATATCCATGAATTCATTGCATCATAGGTTATCTTCAAGGTTATTTTATTAGAGTTATTTGATATATTATCTAAAATTTTTCATGCTTCTACTGGGAAATATCAATCCTTGCCTTTAGGTATCTTCTGCAAGAACACCTGTTTTGCGTAGAAAATTGTTGAGGATTTGGATTGTTTCTGTATTACTTTATCATAATTCTGAATCCATGTATTTGTATCATACCTTTGAGCCATTACCATGCAGCAGCAGTTTGTACCTCTTTATTGCTTGTAATTAATATGGTGAACACAGATAACCTGTTTTCCGTGATTAATATCAGGTAAGTGAGACCTCAACCTTTGTTGAGTTCTTTATTAACCTGGTATCAAAATAACTTTTGCTTTCTAATCTCTTGTTGAATGCAAAATTCAGATAATATATGCTATATCTTCTTACTACACATTATATCCATTTTATAGTATCTAAATTATCATTTTTTCCTATGAGATCTTCAAATGAAACTTTTATTGGAATTCAGGGAAAAGCATGTTCTAATAAATATTGTCTGAGGTTCCTGAAATTAGAGAGACAAAAAGATATCTTTTCCCAGCAGGGGATACCTTGTCTCAAGAATAGTACAGGACTCTGGGCCAGTCCCCAAGTTATAGGATCCAACTAGCATAAATTGTTCATTTTTTATATGAAGATTGCAGGAGGTACTAGCTGCATGTATTTTTTTTCACTTACCTGGACATGTTCTGTTATTTGTCATTTCCTGAGTACTTAATGGAAGTTTCTTGATGCATTAGCATCACATGTTCCTGGAGCTCATGATGCCATACGTGCATTATCATCATTCATATTTATTTTGTAATCATGCTACACTGAATGTTCATTCTTGTGTTTTTGCATCTTTATGGTTTTGACTATATAAATCTGCGTGCTTTCTGATGGAGCTCTGGTTGTCCGACAGCAAATGACCCTTATTAAAGCACAGGCTGGGGTGAAGAACAATATGAGAAGGATGAACAAGAGCATCATACAGAAGGGTTCGAACCATCTTGTCCATGTGATACTGTTCACGCTTTTCTGTTTCTTTGTTGTATATTTCTGGTCTAAGATCTCCAGAAGATGAAGAAAGGGATCACGGAAGAGTTTGCTTCTGGACTAATCTGGTTTATCTCTTCTTCATCATCATCAAAACTGCTATCCTGCTCGCTGACTTGGGTGCTGGATTCCGTACTTCGAGCCTTAAGACAATGTAATATTACTGTAAAGAGGAGGGCAGCTTAGTTCTCAAATGACATATGTAGAACATATCTGATTGTTTATAATATAGAATTAATTGTGCTAAATGAAGAGAAGATGTTATTTGTATGTCGAACATTGAAATGTACCTTTTCCAATTAAACATTCTGAGCTACAATAAATGTTGTTTCTGAGAAAGGAAATCATCATCGACTGTGCTGACATTGATTTAGCACCGCCGTGCTCTTCTTCAAAATACCCCGCGATGGACATCAAGATCGCAGACAGAGGCCTCCGTTTACAAACATCCGTCACCAATCCTCCATCAAATTCTCGTGTATTGTTTGTAGTTTGGATAGGCACCCTTTGCCAAAATATGAAGATGCAATAACTCAGCTTTACTCATCCATCCAGTCACCTTAAAAGCTCGTAGAGGAACATTGGAAATCCTTCGTGATTTCTGCACTCTGCTTCCCACGTCCTAAAGGTATACTCAGCTTCTCTAGCGTTCACCAACTGTCGCCAAACATAATACCACTTTAGGTAGACGTGACACTCACATTCTGATGGTTCAAAGTATCTGCTGCATATCAGAATACTAGAGAAAATGTTTGCATACTAGTAGTACATTCATCGAAATACAGACAATATGCTAGGGGAAGTTCATGTGAATAAACAAGCAAACAAATTATGCTTATTAATCTTACTATATATCCAGTAATGACGGTAGAGAAGCAAATTTAACTGAAAACTAAAAAGCTGAATTGAAAAGGAAGATAGAAATGGTAAACAAGGTCACTTGGTAAAGTTATTACATTTGACCTCTTATTATTCCCTAAGGCACAAAAACAACAATGGAAGTGTTAACTTGTGTAGTTCCCTCTTCCAGTTTCCCAGACAAACACGGTTCTGACAAAACCATATTGATCTAGTTTACTGAACATTCGGTTAGCAAAAAAGCAACTAGTAAGTCACACAATCTTTCTGGAGAATTAGCTCACGGAACTTCTCTGCTGCGTCGGCCAAGCCAGCCTTTTTTAGTGCCTCAAATAGCCTATTGCAATCAGAGATATCAAATTCTTCAGCCTTAGATTTCCTCCACTCGTCGATAACTTCTCCAGCTTCCTTCGACCGTTCAAGCACGAGATAGGAAGAAATAATGCATATATAATTTCTGCTAGTCATTTTCTGTGAGGTCATCCTCATGGATTTCCATATTTCGTTTAGCATTTGACTGTTACCCAGACCAGCATGTAAGATGATAAGGAAATCATAAGTTATCCACTGTTGCTGGCTAATCTTTTTGTCGGTTTCAGCAAGAGAAAAATCTGAATCGACGAGTCGACCAGCAGTGAGATAGATATCAGCCAGTCTCATGTATGTAATCCAATGTTTGTCAGAGTTTGGTTCCTGGGCCATCTCATCAAGAATATTTCTTACAGCATTAATGTCCAGAATTGCAGCATAAGAACTTATCCAGAGGTTATACGTGAACAGATCAGGTGTGACTTTTCGCCTCTTTAGTTCTTCGACAATCGGGGGAACCTTATCGAGCTGCCCAACTGAGATATACAAAGTCATCATTTCATTATATACCAATGCACTGGAAGAGAGACTTAATTCCTTGATCCTTTCGAATAGCTTCTCGGCCTTCTCTGTCAATTTTGCTGCAGCATATGAATGGAGGAGGGCAGTGTATGCTTCGCATGATTTTGCACTCGAGGGTAGCCCTTCAAAAAAATCTTCAGCAGCATTGACACCAAAAACTTTGGTGATCAATTCTATGCGCATTGCATAGTCGCGATCTGATAACTCAGATTCTCGATGTGTTTTCATCCACTCTGATATCTGCAAGTGCAATAACAGATACGAGAAGAATGAGGCAACAGAGTACATATACATATGCATCATGAAGCTCAATTGTAATATCGTATTGACAGGAAGGTCATGAATCAATAAAGTTCTCAGATCGATAGGAACGGAGGTGCTATTAGGACTGCTCCCATTCAGTTTAATCTTAGAATAGATTAAACAAGAATACATCCACAAAATTCTGTCAGACAATACTTCTTGGATTTTAGGTTATTTTCTTAAAAGTGTCTTCTGTGATCTTAAAAGTCCCAACTTTTCTTTTCCCAGACGCCACATCCTTATTCAATCAGCAAAAGATAAAGAGAACTAATATAAACAGGAGAAAGTGGACAAGAAATGTACCTCGAGGGCGTGCTTGTACCGCTGCGATCGCCTCAGGTCCTTGGCTATCTGGCGGAGCTCCGACGCCGACACCGCGCGCCCCTCCCCGACCCATCTGTCTAGGGCGGCCGTCGCGCTCCGCTTAGGTAATCGGAGCCGAAAGACGCGGCGCCGGAGATCGTCCTCGGGGTCGGCGGGTTCCTCTTCGACGGAGAAGCCATCGCTTTTCGGCAGGACCGAAGAGAAGGACTTAGGGCTTTCAAGAAATGCGATCGGCGAGGCCCGGAGATCGGAGATTCTTAGGCTTCTCGGGCGCGATCCCCGAACTAGGGCGGCGAAGAGGGAGCCGGTCGCCATGTTCGAGCTCCGAAGACCGGACCTAACTCGGGATGTTTTGTAGGCCCGGTTTGGATCCGGTCCAGCTCGGTTTGGGTCCGGTCGGACCACTTTCCACGCGCGCATCGTGCGGAAGTCGTCTATAATTTTTAGTAAGCTAAATTTTGATTAATGCACAGTTTTCGATTCATCTCATTTCATCTTCATTCGACCAACATGTTAACTCCATTTAATCGATATTTCATTCGATCTCTTTGATTGAAATATCAAGTGAGTGAGGTACATGATCTATAAGATTGACAACATGATACCCACGAGGGGGTCAGTGCTATTCCAATCATGTATCACTGATGAGAAAGCTAGCAAGAAATCCAATAAGAAGAAGGAAGGAAGGAATGGAGAGATTTGAGGCTTTGTGTGCATTTCCACTAAGAGCGAATCGTGGGAATGCGTAGTGGACACCGATTGTATAGAAAATGGTCAAACCAACATAAGTAGGAAAGCCAATACGATGTGATGATGTATTTAATTCTTTGTTAATATGTAGCCAACAAATATTAGTGTTTCGAATTAATTATAATCTTCTTCGTGTTGGAGAATTAATTGTAAACAGAGGATGTTTACATGGCAATAGTAACAAACGATAATGTGCTCGAAAATCTGAGGAGACCTCACAACATAATGATGATGAGGAATATTACAAATATGATAAGAAATTAGAGACACTAAATGAAAAAAAAAAAGTAACACAATAATGTCGGCTTTTCACGTCAAACAAAAAACAGTGGTCAACAATTGATATGTTTCCACGCACATGGCAAGAATATAGGTAACAACGTCGCCTAATGTACATGTCTTTTAGTTGCTATGATCCAGTAATTGAGAGTGACTTCCTCTTTGGTTAGGTTACTATGGCAGGGGAGAGAGTGCATCCACTCCTCAATCAGCGGTGGAAAATATGAAAAAGATCAAAATACTCGATCTCGCTATCTCAATAGCAGATTGAGCTCCATTTCTCAATTACTTTTGTCCTTATATTTGCTGAATCAATAGAGTGTTCGACAGTACGAAGAAAGCTAATTAAACAGCATCATGCAAGTAGTGTTTTGGCCAATTCGAAGAATCTAATGGCCGGCAAAATGGATCAGCATAATCTCATGCTGTTGGCAGCATTCAAACGCATATGTTTTCTAAAGATTCAAGTTTGCTTTGCGCCTAAACAAAGCACTAGGAATTATTCTAGTTATGATGATGATGACGACGCCTGAGGACGTTTCAGAAGCATCATCAGCTTCAGATGTTGGAAGGAAAGCATGACAGAATGATTCAGGTGACTGTGAGATGCTGCTTAATTGCATGCTCAAGTAGCCTGTTTGCTGCTGATTCCTTTGCAAGTGTTCCCCAAACGAGGTGATTCCCATGCAATTGCTAATATGATTCCAAAGGCACATGCTTATCCTCTATCCAAATTCATATCCACATCATCATCGATCTTTGATCAATATGTAGCAATCCATTAAAATTTCCCTTCGATCACAGAAGTACAGCAGTTCAAGCAACCTGATTACTGGGAGCTGCTTTGTCTTTCTTATCCTTTTCTTGCCTGTACTCTCCGTAGGAGTAGGAGGCCAACCCCCAGAGTGAGAGGACGAGAGCGATGCCCTTCTCGCTGCTGAAGTTTTCCTTGAAGAAAACGACACCCAACACCTCGGTCACCGGGATGAACAACGCGATGAGGATGCCGGCGAGCAGCGTGTTGACGCAGAAGATGATGCCCACTGTGCCCAGGAAGAAGAATTGCCAGAAGACGGCGCTCCAAACAAGTACCACGTAGTATCTAAACTCCCCCAGTTCGAAGTGCCTTGCCTCACGTGGAATCGCCTGCAACATGTTCGACTCAATGAGATGGTGATATCCACAACACCAAAATTGCCTGTACTTTCTAATATGAAAAGCAATGAAATGGATCGAAATAGGTCAATCGATGATGAGTAATGAATATAGTGACGAATAAATTATGCTTTATGAGTCATCAAGAGCTTAGTGGTAGGAGACTATGGTTGATGGGGTTTTCCACCGTGACAAAGTGCAGAGTGATCCGATGAGTAGAGTAAACAGGGGAGAATTTGCAGAGTGATGGCTTTCGTCATCAGCTTCTCCCTAATCATATCGTCTCGCAGAATCAAACATACGACAAGACCTCGGTCGGAGGAATCGACTCGGCGGTCGTGAAACCCAAGGCAGAGAAACAAGGTCACCTGGAAGTCCTTGTTCACCAGCATCCCCACGGTGCAGAAAGCGGTCGCGAAGAACCCCATCACCAACTGCATCTCCATCACCAGCGTGTAGGTGATCGCCTGCTTCGATTTGGAGTACATCAGCTCCACCAGCGGCAGGATCAGCCCATACAGAGCTGCTGCCCCCAGCGTCAGGATGAACCCCAAGTGGTACTGGCCCCTCGTCACGTTGTCGGGCCGGTCGGAGCTCACGTGGAGTCCTAGGACCACTGCCCCGACCGTCAGCAACGCCACCGAGTTGATCGAGTACGGGGTGAACTTCTGCTTCACTATGAGGAAGGCGAAGAAGGCCGTGAAGGCCAGCTGGGTGGATATGAGGAGAGACGAGGTGGAGACGGGGAGGAAAGACAGCCCGTAGGCGTAGAGGAAGTCGTCGAAGCCGGTGATGAGGCCGATGAAGGCGCAAGCGAGGAAGAGTCGCGGGGTGATGAAGAAGAGCTTGGTGGGGTGGCAGTTGCCGGGGCGGAGTTGGCAGCGGCGGCGACGGTGGAGGTAGGTGATGAGGAGGGGGACGAAGATGAAGGGCCATCCAGCGGTCTCGAGCCAGCTCGAGAGCCACTGACGCTTTCCGCCGCTACGGTAGTAGAGGCGGAGGAGGAGCGGGCTGCCGGTGTTTCCGAGCGCCATAAGGACGCAGTTGAGGACGATGAGGGCCCTCCTCAGGCCTTTGCTCATCTGGGGAGCGGCATCCTGGTTCTGGTGATTGGAGTTTTGGCCTTCCACCTCCATGACGTTTGCTTTGGGAACTGAGAGAAGCACCAGCTAGTGGTGCTAAGATATATATATATATAGAAGAGAGACTTCAATGATCACTCCACTAGTGGCCGTATCAAAGAACTCAGTTCATGAACACCACCACCAAAGAGAGTTTTATGCTGCTTAATTGTGATATTTACATGACATGGCACAGATTTATTGAAGCATGGAAGTACATGACAAGTCCAAGATGGAAGAGTTGCCTTATATAACATAAGCTATGATTGGCAAATGAAAAGTGAATTCTATCTGTATAGCTTTCGACACTCGCCATTGGTATTTGTGTGGTTGTGTGTGTTAAACAATCTTCTCACACCTATAATTCAAACGCATATGTTTTCTACCGGTCAAGCTCTTTCGAAACAGTGCAAATCTTCCGGTCTTGTATAGCTGTCATCTCTCTCTGTCGGAATAAATTTCATTGATAATGATGAAAATTATTTTTCTCTTAATTTGTTGATCTCCGTCCACATAAACCAATCTCTCGTTTTCCTCCAATGATTTGAATGCATTATATAGAAGACTTCTATGGATTCTATAATAGACTTCATAGAGTAGTTTCATGAGCTTTGGAGCAGAGATAATTGAATCGTAATTCGTCCTATTCTACTGAATTTTATATCAATATAAAAATCATGAGCGATTTTTTTTAAAAAAAATATTTTTATTTTTTTCAAGAAATATATTCCTTTTTCATTTTTGACATGAAATACTCGTATATTTTCTCTTCTCTTATCTTCTCTCTCCTATCGAACTGTCAATCTAACTATACCAACAACCCACCCTCTTTTTTTTTTCTCATTTTTATGTTATAATATTTTTACATAATTTAAACAAACACATTGTGTTATAATGTTTTTTACTACTATTTTTTGGGTATTATTTAAAATACTATAACATAGTTGTAAAGATAAAAAAAAAATTATATATTAGAAAAAAATAAAGTTAAAGAATTAGATAAGATGAAGAAAAAGCATCCATCAACGATACATAGTATAAAGGCTGGCTGATCTGACGAATGGCTAAGGTTGCAACTTTTTCCTTTCTCGATGAAGGCCACCACCAATCCAACATCCCCAATAAGTCGCCTTGGTTTCAGTTTTCAATTAGCACACTCTTCTTGTTTTGGATGTGTTTGTCTGTGCCTTGAGGGTGACAGTGTGTGCTTAGCAGTGTTGATTGATTAGGTTTGCCATTGAGGTGGACGAAGAAAAGTAGCAGCAATAACAACAGCATCTAAGAGGAGAAAGAGCACCTTATGGTACAAGAATTTTCGCTGCTCTTTAGGATTGGAGTCAAATTTGAGTAATTAAATTTTTAGTTTGATTTAGATAGATAGACTAAACTTTACTAAATCCTAATGGCCGATTTATCTAAAAAAGTTCCTTTTTCGTTTTTTTTCTATATAGTGTCGGTAAATGTCCTATCCTTTTTCCTGAGTTGTCTCCATCTCATCGCAAGGTGATGCCACCCACTTTCTACTGTCTTTATCCTATGCTCTCACCATGAAATCTCATTATCTCTAAAGAGGAAGGAAAGGGTCGATGGAGGAGACAACGAAGCGTGGGTGGCACCGCCACATGATGGGGTGGAGGTGAGAGCAGGGAAAGGTATCAAAAGGAGGAAGAATACTTACAAAATAATAAAAAATAAAGAACATTATTTAAGAAAAACAAAATTGAAGGACATCATCTGATGTATATTATGAAGCCTCAATCCTCACATAATTCTAATTATCTCTCTCTACAAGCTATCGTCTCCATCGAGTATTTGATGTTCCAAGGAATTGTCATCGGATAATCATTGCATGTTAGGCGTTGATTGACTATAGCAGCAAAACATTTTTGATGTCTCTCTTTTGAACAGTAGTAAATGCTGGGACGAAGATTAGAATGGGCGCGTGATGTAAGCAAAAGGTATTCTTTCCAAAGGCTCATGTCGGGATATATAGAGAAATAGCTGCTCGGGGCCAAGCATTTGAGCATAAATAAAGGTCGCTTGGGTAATGGGAGACAAAAGACGCGATCGTCCTCGGTGGCGGCGGCCTCCTCTTCTGGCTCTCTCTAACAAGTTACCTTTTCTTGAACTTAAACGTCGGAGGCAAGCATTGTCCGAACATTTTCGATATAGTTTCATAAGGTTTGGCCAAAATCACCTTTAACATCCACTGATTCCCAGTGATATGAGAAAGGCCATTTTAGAGCGAATCGTGGGAATGTGTAGTGCACACCGATAGTGTGGAAAATGATCGAACCAGCATGCGCAAAGATGCTTCAGATGTTGGAAGGAAAGCAAGACAGAATGATTCAGGTGACTGTGAGATGCTGCTTAATTGAAAGCTCAAGTAGCCTTTTGGCTGCTGATTCCTTTGCAAGTGTTCCCCAAAAGAGTTGATTCCCATGTAATTGCTAATATGAATCCAAAAGCACATGCGAAACTCTCCAAGGTTTCATCGACAAGTTCTTATCCTCTATCCAATTTCACATCCACACCATCATCAATCTTTAATCGATCTCTTTGCTCACAAAAGTACAGCAGTTCAAGCAACCTGATTACTGGGTGTTGCTTTGTCTTTCTTATCCTTTTCGTGCCTGTACTCTCCGTAGCAGTAGGAGGCCAAACCCCAGAGTGCGAGGACGAGAGCGACGCCCTTCTCGCTGCTGAAGCTTTCCTCGAAGAAGACGACACCCAACACCCCGGTCACCGGGATGAACACGGCGATGAGGATGGCGGCCAGCAGCGTGTTCACGCAGAAGATGATACCCACTGTGCCCAAGAAGAAGAACTGCCAGAAGACGGCGCTCCAAACAAGTATCGCGTAGTATCTAGACTCCCCCCCTTCGGAGTGCCTTGCTTCACGTGGAATCGCCTGCGACATGTTCAACTCAATAAGATGGTGAAATCACAACACAAAGATCGCCGGTGCTTTCTTATACGAAAAGCAAGCGAAATGGATCTAAATAGGTCGATCGCTAATAAGTAGTAAACAGGGGAGAAGTTGCAGAGTGATTGCTTTCGTCATCAGCTTCTCTCTAAATCATATCGTCTCGCAGAATCAATCATGAGAAAAGACCCGGTCGGAGGAATCGACCAGGCAGTCGTGAAAGAAGGTCACCTGGAAGTCCTTGCTCACCAGCATCCCAACGGTGCAGAAAGCCGTCGCAAAGCA